GATTGCTCAACAAGCTTTGCATTGAGAGCCATATCCACCTGTCTGTGTGTCAAACTCCACTTGTCTGCGAGCCGATCTCGAGAACTCAAAAATCGGTTCCGTTAACAAACGCCAAGCCCCTTCCAAACAGAAACCCGACGGGGGATTAAACGAAGTTGCTTACTCACAGCCCAAAGCAACACAAAAACATCACCCTTTCCGAGCCTCAGGGTAATGAAATGTAAACCCAACTGTCCGCCGGACGGGGCATTAAGCTAAACCAGACTGGCGAGCTGCTTTGGCGGGATACTGGCGGGATACAGTGGCGAATGCTGAAAAGCCGCTCCATGTCGATACTGGCCGGATACTCGGCAACATCCACTGGCAAGGATACTCAGCGGGATACTTGGCGCGATTTATTGTGAGTTACTCTTGGATACTCAGCGGGGAATACTCGGCGGGCTGTTTCCAGCTACTCTGGCGGGATTGGGATACTCGGCGGGATGCTCGGCGGGATCCACTGGCAGGCTGCTCTGGTGGGATACTCGGCGGGATCCGCTGACGAGCCACTGTCTGGCTACGTGGCGGGATCCACCCCAGCGGGATACTCGGCGGGATCCACAGGCTGCTCTGGTGTACTCAGCGAGATCCACTGACGAGCTACTCTGGGATATTCGGCGGGATCGGTACTCGGCGGGATCCACTGGCGAGCCGCTCTGGCGGGATACTTGGCGGGATCCACTGGCAAGCCGCTACTGACTGGCGAGCAGCTCTGGCGGCGGGACAGCTGCTCTGGCGGGACACTCGGCGGGTGGGCTACTCTGGTAGGACCGCTGGCGAGCTACTCTGGGATACTCAGCGGGATACTTGGCGGGATCCACTGGCGGGCTGCCCTGGTGGGACTTGGCTGGACAGGCGGGATACTCGGCGGGATACTGGCGATCCGGCGGGATTCGCTGGCCAGCTGCTCTGGCAGGATTCTGGTCGCAAACGCGGATTCCAACATAAAGTCTAACAACCCTTTCCTGTCGGGTGGGCAACAAGCAAACACACAAACAAACAAGCAAACAAGCCAAACAAACCAAACAGCATCGAGCGAACGAACTGGCAAGCAAGCCAGCAAGCCAGCATGCCAGCATTCCAGCATGCCAGCATGCGTGTGCGCGCACGCACGCACGCACGCACGCACGCACGCACGCACGCACGCACGCACGCACGCATGCACGCGCACGCGCGCACGCACGCACGCGCGCAGGCACGCAGGCACGCAGGCGTGCAGGCGCGCAGGCACGCAGGCGCGCAGGCACGCAGGCACGCAGGCGCGCATGCACGCAGGCGCGCAGGCACGCAGGCGCGCAGGCATGCAGGCATGCAGGCAGGTATACGCAGGCACGCAGGCACGCACGCAGGCACGCACGCAGGCATGGTGGCACGCACGCAGGCACGCGCGCAGGCAGGCAGGCAGGCGCGCAGGCACGCAGGCGCGCAGGCCCGCAGGCCCGCAGCGCCCAGGCGCGCAGGCCTGCAGGCCCGCGCGCAGGCACGCAGGCGCGCAGGCGTGCAGGCACGCAGGCACGCAGGCACGCAGGCACGCAGGCGCGCAGGCGCGCAGGCACGCAGGCACGCAGGCACGCAATCGCGCAGGCACGCAGGCACGCAGGCAGGCAGGCAAGCAGGCAGGCAGGCAGGCAGGCAAACAAGCAAGCAAGCAGGCAAGCAGGCAAGCAGGCAGGCAAGCAAGCAAGCAAGGAAGGAAGCAAAACGCAGTCGCACACACAAGCGCTAACGCACAAAGCAACAAAAGAAACAAAAGCTGACAAGCGGACAGAGCCAGACAGACAGACAGACAGACAGGCAGGCAGGCAGGCAGGCAGGCAGACAGACACACAGACAGAAAGTCAGACAGACAGACAGACTTGCAGGCAGGCAGGCAGGCAGGCAGGCAGGCAGGCAGGCAGGCAGGCAGGCAGGCAGGCAGGCAGGCAGGCAGGCAGGCAGGCAGGCAGGCAGGCAAGCAAGCAACAACTAGACGACGAGTGGCCCGGAAGCATAGAGGCAAGTTGATGCAGGCGAGGTAACTCTCGCCAAGTTAGCATGAGGAGTTGGCAGGCGAAGCAATTCTCAAAAAGTTGGCATGAGAAGCTGGCAGGTTAAGTAACTCAAGAGAAAAGTTGGCATGAGAAGTTGGCAGGTGAAATAACTCTCAAAGAGTTGGCATGAGAAGTTGGCAGGTGAAGTAACTCTCGAAAAGTTGGCGTGAGAAGCTGGCAGGTGAAGTAACTCAAGAGAAAAGTTGGCATGAGAAGTTGGCAGGTGAAATAACTCTCAAAGAGTTGGCATGAGAAGTTGGCAGGAGAAGTAACTCTCGAAAAGTTGGCGTGAGAAGCTGGCAGGTGAAGTAAGTCTCGAAAAGTTGGCACGAGAAGATGGCGCGTGAAGTAACTCTCGAAAAGTTGGCGTGAGAAGCCGGCAGGTGAAGTAACTTTCGAAAAGCTAGCATGAGAAGTTGGCAGGCGAAGTAATTCTCGAAAAGTTGGCGCGAGAAGTTGGCAGGCGAAGTAACTCTCGAAAAGTTGGCAGGCGATGTTGGCAGGTGAAGTACCTCTCGAAAAGTTGGCATGAGAAGCTGGCAGGTGAAGTAATTTTTCGAAAAGTTGCCACGAGAGGTTGGCAGATAAAGTATTTCTCGAAAAGGTGGCATGAGAAGTTGGCAGGTGAAGTAATTCTCGAAAAGTTGGCAGGTGAAGTTGCCACGAGAGGTTGGCAGGTAAAGTATTTCTCGAAAAGTTGGCATGAGAAGTTGGCAGGTCAAGTAATTCTCGAAAAGTTGGCATGAGAAGCTCGCAGGTGTAGTAACTCTCGAAAAGTTGGCATGATAAGCTCGCAGGTGAAGTAACTCCTCGAAAAGTTGGCACGAGAAGTTGGCAGGTGAAGTAAATCTCGAAAAGGTGGCATGAGAAGCTGGCAGGTGAAGTAATTCTCGAAGTTTCGGCATGAGAAACTGGCAGGTGAAGTAATTAACCCTCAAAAAGCTGGAGCGGCGGAGGCGCTCCGCGTGCTACATTTGCAATTTACAGTTGCGATTTTCCAGCCATTTGTATCTAAAATTTGCGATTTTCCAGCCGGAGCTGCGGGAGCACGCTCCGCGTACTACGTCTGTACTTAAAAAGTGCGATTTTCCAGCCGGAGCTGCAGCAGCCTCCGCGTACTACGTCTGTACTTCAAAGTTGCGATTTTCCAGCCGGAGCTGCAGGAGCACGCTCCGCGTACTACGTTTGTACTTAAAAGCTGCGATTTTCAAGCCGGAGCTGCCGCGGACCAGGGGGGAATCGAACCCGGGACCGCGGGATTGCGAAAGCAGGTGCGCACACCACGAGACAACTTCCAAAAGCCGTTTCGCGAGCAAGAAAAACGCATGGCGCCACACTTCGACACGCACGATCTCCGCAGAGGGTTCATCGGGCTCAAGACAGATGCGCACGGCGCCACAGCGAGAGCGATCCGACACGCACGATCCCCGCAGAGGGTTCTTCGGGCTCAAGACAAATTCGCACGGCGCCACAGCGAGAGCGCTTCGACACGCAGGATCTCCGCAGAGGGTTCGCCAAGGTCAAGACAAATTCGCACGGCGCCACAGCGAGAGCGCTTCGACACGCACGATCCCCGCAGAGGGTTCGCCGCGGTCAAGACAAATTCGCACGGCGCCACAGCGAGAGCGCTTCGACACGCACGATCTCCGCAGAGGGTTCGCCAAGGTCAAGACAAATTCGCACGGCGCCACAGCGAGAGCACTTCGACACGCAGGATCTCCGCAGAGGGTTCGCCAAGGTCAAGACAAATTCGCACGGCGCCACAGCGAGAGCGCTTCGACACGCACGATCTCCGCAGAGGGTTCGCCAAGGTCAAGACAAATTCGCACGGCGCCACAGCGAGAGCGCTTCGACACGCACGATCTCCGCAGAGGGTTCGCCAAGGTCAAGTCAAATTCGCACGGCGCCACAGCGAGAGCGCTTCGACACGCACGATCTCCGCAGAGGGGTGCGTTTCGTAAGCTCCCGTCGGGCCTACCCCCGCCATAAAAAGAAGAAGAATTAAGAGTCGAGATGTGAAGGTAGAACAGAAAAGTTAGCTTGTGGTTTTAGGATAGTGAAGTAACACCCGACAAATTAGCTTGTGCTTTTAGTAGAATGAGATAACAGCCGAAAAGTTGACATGAGAAGTTGGCAGGTGAAGTAACTCTCAAAAAGTTGACATGAGAAGTAGGCAGGTGAAGTAACTCTCGACAAGTTGGCATGAGTAGTTAGCAGGTGAAGTAACTCTCGACAAGTTGGCATGAGAAGTTGGCAGGTGAAGTAACTCTCGACAAGTTGGCATGAGAAGTTGGCAGGTGAAGTAACTCTCGACAAGTTGGCATGAGAAGTTGGCAGGTGAAGTTGGCAGCCGCTTTTAGAAGAAGAACCCTTCGCAATGCTTCCGGGAAAAACACAAGCAAGCGCGCACACACACACACACACATGCAGGCATTCCACATTTTAAGCCATGTGCTGAGTTGCAGGATTCCTTTTGGCAAATCTTCCTCTTGCGAAGGAGAAGGAGATGGACGCCATCAGAAAGCAGCAGTGCCTGGGCAAGTTGTTCGTTCATTCCATTTCATTTCATTTCAGTTCAGTTCAGTCCATTCCATTCCGTTCCATTCCGTTCCTTTCCTTTCCTTCCTTCCTTCACTCACTCATTTATCCGTTCCATTTTTTCATTTGTTCATTCCTTCTTCTTCATTCCTTCATTCCTTCATTCCTTCCTTTCTTCCTGCCTTCCTTCCTTCCTTCCTTCCGTCCTTCCTTCATTCACCGATCCATCCATCCATCCAGTCCATTCCATTCCATTCGGTTCGGTTCTGTTCCGTTCCATCCCACCCCATCCCATCCCATCCCATTCCATTCCATTGCAGTCCATTTCATTCCTTCATTCAATTCCATTCCATCCGATTCCATTCCATGTCATTCATTTCATTTGACTTCATTGCGCTTCATTTCACTTCATGTCATATTTTTCTTGTTATTTCATTTCATTTCATTTTTTCATTTCATTTGTTCATTTCATTTTATTTCATTTCATTTCATTTTCATTTCATTTCATTGCGTTGCGTTGCGTTGCGTTTCGTTTCGTTTCATTTCATCGCGTTTCGTTTCATTTCATACCGTGTTCATTTCATTTGGCTTCATGTTAGTTCATGCTATTTCATTTCATTTCATTTCACTCCATTTCATGTCAGTTCATGTCATTTTCATTGTCATGGATTCATTTCATTTCATTTTATTTTAACCTATTCTATTCTATTTTATTTTATTGTATTTTATTTAACTTTATTTATTTTTATTTTATTTTATTTCATTGCATTGCTTTGCATTGCATTTCATTTCTTCAGTCACTTTCTCCTTGAGTGTCTGATTTGTTTCCTAGTGGCCCCGCAATCGCCCGCTTTCTCCGTTAGTGCTTTTGTTTCTAGTGGGGGGCTTCGCCTAAACACAACCGCCCTAAAGCTGTCCAAAGCCAGCCGTAAGCCTACCCTACAGCTTCCCTAATCTCACCACAGACCCTCAACCCACTAAACCTTCCCGACCCTAAGCACCCTGAACACTACCCTCCGACCCAAATCCCACCCCAAGCCCAATGCTAAGCCTCCCCTTAACCCACTTTCGCCAGCCGTCCTTGTTCCCATGAATCTTGGTCGTTTGTTTGCCTTTGGTCCCCTCCTCCATTTGATTTTTTGCTCCCCCACTCCGGTCCTCTCTTTTTTTGTGGTCGTCCTTCGGTCCTGGTCTCGTGTCCTTTCATCCTTTTTGAATAATTTGTTTCGATTGCTAAACACGTTTTGTTGATTGTCAAAAACGTTTCCAATATGTTTTAATGGGCAACCGCTGAGCCCCGCAAAATGTTTTGCAATTTGACCCGGCGCTATATTCGCGCTCCGCTGTCTTCTAGTTTTAAGGCTCTTTTATTGCTGGGGCAGTGACCTTGCCGCGCTTGCGAGTTTACGGCGTCTCTCTTGCGGCGCGGGCCGTTGTGCGTGCCAAATGTACTGCTGTACGCTGAGCTTTTCAAGTGTGGAGGTTGCAGTTTTGAGGTTTACAGCATCCAGCGAAAGTATGTTTTTGTGCGATTGGTGTCCACTTGTCCGGTCTTTCGGCATGTGTTTGGTGTTTGCTGCTTGCTGCAAGATGTCATGACTGTCGCTGTTGCCGTGTTTCTCTGGTATCCAGTTCTTGGTTTGGTGGTTCTCCCACTACCTTTTTCTACATGCTGTGTTCGCGGCCGCTCCTCCTGTCCGGCCACTTGTGGCGGCCGCCCCCTTTCTTGCGGCCTGTTGGCCTCTCGGCTTAGCGCCGTGCGCTTTTTCGTTTGCCGTGTGGCCTGGTGGCCCCTAGGCGGCAGCGTTCCCGCCTTGAAGTGCCAGAGCCTTTGCGTTTGGGCCATTAGTACTAGGCTGTGTTGAGACAAAGTTTGGCACCCACCCACCCAAGCGTGCGCGTACATGTGCGTGGGTGCTTGCGTGCGTGCGGCACGTGTGCGCGATCGCGCATGTGCGAGCACACGCGCCAAAAACCAATCGTACAAAGACTGCGTCCCCGGCATCCCCTTTCAGCCCCGCAAAACACCAACGAAAAATGCTAAAAAAACACGCTGTGTTTGCAATGTTTTCCGCATAATGCACGCCGTTGCTTGGGATGCTGGACAAGCCGGGTGCTGGTGATGCAAGAATGCTGGGCATGCTGGTGAAGTTGGCGAGGATGTGTGGGATGCAGGTGGGGGTGCTGAGTGTGGGGTCCAGATGTCTTAGGTGGCCTGTGACTGGATGCTGAGGAGGAGCTTCTAGCGCAACAAAACATAACCTACGGGTAGGGTTGCCCTCGCTCTAGATGTGTTAGAATTGGATCAGCAAAATTCGAAGCCGCCAATTAGCCACCATTCCTCTCCACGCGCTTCCTACAAGAAAAGGGAACAGCGAGTTAGGCAATGTCGACATTTCGCATCGCGGCTTCGACTAGTTGGCCGAATCCTTGCCGGCAACGTCCCTTGTGGCCACCAGAGTCATTTACAGTCAAAGGTCGGAGTCTTGCAAACTCTTGGGAGCCTAGGCAAGACGAGGAAAAGCTTGAGGCCAGCCGTCCATAATGCTATGCGTGATGCACAAGCTTCACTGTCCAGGGTGGGCGTCAACGTATAGCTGCCATCAACCAAGACATCATGACAAGGTCTGGAAACAAAGCTTGGATCGTCCTGAAACACGTGCTGGTCAGGGCAGCTGAAAGGAGCCAGAAGTGGCAAGAGCGAAATGACGCTGCCGCTTCCAGGTGCTGCGTTGCAATCTTCGGATCATAAACGTTTGCGCTTTGCCATGGCTTTTGATTTGTTTCAATCCAAAGTGCCCCGTCTCAGAGTTGCTGCAGGCGACAGCTCGCTGATGTCGCGTCTGAAGCAGAGATGGCTGCAAAGCTGGCGCGGCTCTCACATCGATTGTTCAAGTATTGCCCGTCAGTGATTTTGCAGGAAGCGGGAGCGCAACGCAAGGCAGACCTGGAAGGGACCTTAGAGTTTGAGCGCTGCGTTGTGATTGGGACATGCAAAAGATGCACAAGACGACGTGAGGATAGACGCCGGGCAGATGAACTTGCAGAGGCGCGCCGTCGCTGTTGCTAATTCGCAAGGTCGTGAATACTCTTAATTCTTGTGTGTGCTCCAAGCAGTGCTTGTTGTTTAGAAACAGATTGCTGATTCACGAAAGCAGTGATTCTAGGCAGCTGCAGCAAGAGCGCTGCAGACCGAGAAAGCGCAGGCGCGTGGTTTCGAGTGTTGTTGCAACGCTGTAATCATTGCACGCTGCGCAAGGCGCAGTAGAGGTTTGGGATGCTTTCAGACTTGTTCTATTTCAATGTGAAATTGAAAGCTTCAAGACTTCGATTTGATTAAAGGCCAGGATGATTTCCACAACACACATCCGTGCGAAACAGAGCCAAGCAACAGTCTCCTTGGCTGGACACAGTTGCCCGATTTCAATTGGTAACTAGGCGATAGCCTGAAAACCCCCCGCTACGTTTGGTAGCGCAGGCGAGTGCAGACCAAAGTTTTGGCAATTCCAGTTTTACCAATATCAGAAAAGTGCTTCAAGCAAGAGCGACTTCCCTATGCACGCTACTGTTGCTTAAGAGCGCTCCGTGCAAATGCGGTCCGTGCAAGCTTGCGCTGCCACATTGTGCTTCGAGCGAGTTTGGTTTCGCGAGCGTGTGCTCTATCAAAGATTGTCCTGCCAAAGCCCAAAACCGCTAAAACTATCCGAACACATCCTACCCTCTGACACACAGCGCGGGACCGCGGGACTCGTCGCAAGGCTGCGCTGGAAGAAGCGTGCCCTGAAAAATTCAGAAGACCCGGACACACGTCGTGCGTCAAACCGGGAAGCAACACGGAGATTTGTCGATTTGTCAAGAAGTAAGAAGTGCTTTCAAGAAAAAGTCCCATCTTGCTTATACGCCCACGTGTTGCTGCAAATCTTACTCGCATGTACAAGTGTATTATGTTCCAGAGTTTGCTTTTGAGTTTGTCTTCTTGGTGCTCTGTGTCACTTCACGCATATCTGGATGTCTCGTTAGTTGCTAAGTGCGTGTTTGGGAAACGGACTTGCTGCGAAAAGTTTGGGTCAAACTGAGCTCTGCAAAGAGGCCATCCAGGCAAGATCTACGGGCGGTTGTTTATAATTTCATACGACACGATGAGCGAGTTGCCTGCATCTTGTTTTCAGATATTGGCCCTGCCTGCGTTCTCTGCGTGGTTTGGCACGTCGACCCGCGCGTTTCCGTTGCAAAGTGAGAAGCGCAATATTTTTCTTGCTGCTTGGGCCGTTCAACCGCGATGTCTGATAGACATGGACCGATGCGATCTACAGCATCGCCCAACGATGCCGCAACAACGCCGGAGCAGGCACGGCTGACGACGCACAAAAAGCAAATGCAGCGCAACACATTTTCCTGCAAGCTGAACTCCAGGCCCCGGCTGAAACGAAACCAACTGAAATTCAGTCGCCCAAATTCAAGATTCAAGCTTCAAGATCCCCCAGAAAAAAAAAACACTGCAATCTTGAATCTTGAATATTGAATCTGGGCGACTGAATTTCAGCCGGTTTCACTCGTTCCAAGATTGTAGGGAAGACTCTTCTAGGAGATCTTGAACGTTGAATTTTAAATAGAGGCTTGGATTCTCTCTTTTTCAAATTCTGTTCAACCTGATTGACTTTAAAGTTGTATTGGGAAGTCTATTCTGTTTAATTTGAATGTTTAAGACACAATTTCAAATAGGATTCTATCAAGTATTTCCTTTTTGTGTCCCATTTAAATCCTATTCAACTTCAAATTGATTTAGAGATCGGCTGTTGGTGGAGATGTGAATTGAGCACGCGAAACACACCGTGTTCTCTGACCATGGTACTGCTGGGGCTAGTAAAACAAGGATTATTTTTTGGGGGCCTGAATTCTTTCCTTGTGAATTCTACTCAATTGAAGTTTAGAAGGAACTTCCGTGTTACGGCCACGAATTGAAAGCTAGCTCTCTGAGACAAATAGTCACGTAGGAAGAAATTGCGCGCGCGTGTGTGGCGGGGGCATAGACATGCGCAAAAAGTGCAACCCTTGCCGGGTTTCGGTGCTTTGAGATGCCTGAAAGTTAGCCTGGGCGCCCGTTGGCGCGGATGCGCTTTTCGCAGCACTAGTTTCGCGTAGCAAAGTTGCAAAAGGTCAGGTCCCGATTTCTTTGGCAAGCGCAGCGCTTTTGCAGCTAGGTGTAGACTTCGTACCAGGCGCAGCACTTTTGCTCATTTGTGGCAGGGAAGTCGCAGCACTTTCGCAAGGTCAAGTGCGTATTTCCCGGCGGCGCAGCGCGCACAAGGTCAGCTGCAGATTTCGTGGCGACATCTGTACATCGCCTTGCGAAAGTGCTGCGCCAGCCACCAAACCTGTGCTTGACTGCACCGCCACAAAATCCGCACACCTGACCTTGCGAAGCATGGAAATCTGCACCTAGCCTTCCCAAACCGCTGCGCCTGCCACTAAATCTGCACTTGAACTTTCCACATCTGCACCTGGCCTTGCAAAACTCTGCGCCTACTACCGCTCCAAACCCAAGTGTTTTGAGGTTCCTGCTCTGTTACACACGCTTCCTTTGGAGTCGAAAAACAGTAACGATACTGCGCTCACGAACTGTGAAGCAAACACTGAGCAAAATAGAGAGAAGTTTCTTCAGTGCTTGATTAATCTAAAGCATGAAAACAACAGTTCTCTTGTTTGTTCTTTTCTCCTCATCTGCCTTACCTGCTTTCTTTGCATTGTTTCTTTTCTTTCCGTCATTCCGTCTTTCTCTCTTTTTCTGTTTCTTTGTTTTCCTCTTTTTCTTCTCTTTCTTCCCTTTCTTTTCTGTCTTTTCTTGCTGTTCTTTCTGTTCCTTTCTCTCTTTCTGTTCACATATCGATTCCACCACATTTGTCTGCTTATTCCTCCCTCTACTTTCCTATTTGTGAGCTTCTGCATCTATTCAATTATCCATCCAACAATCTGTCGCCCTCATCAATCTCTCTCTCCACTATTTCTCAATCTGTATCTCTAGTTACCTATCTTTCTCTTGTCTATCTATCTGCCTGCATCTATCTTTCTATCTCTCTGTTGTTCTGTTTGTCTTTCTGTTTTCCTTTTGATTTTCTTCGTCTTGCTTTCCTTCTTTCTTGCCATTGTTTTGTTTCTTTCCGTCTTTTTGTGTGTTTCTTCCTTCTTTCTTTCTCTCTCTCTTTCTTTCTTTCTTTCTTTATTTCTTTTCTTTCTTTCTTTCTTTCTTGCCTTCTTGCCTTCTTGCCTTCTTGCCTTCTTGCCTTCTTGCCTTCTTGCCTTCTTGCCTTACCTATTTTTCATCCATCCATCTATCGATCTATTTACCTATATCAACAAATCTAGTTGTCTCTCTCTCCCTCTCTCACTCTCTCTCTCTCTCTCGTATTCTTTCCCTTCTATGTACCGAACTCTTTGTCTGCGTATCTATCTATCTTTCTCTCTATCTATCAATCGATCTTCCCTGCCCACCCACCTACCAAATTATCATCTGGGTCTGAATCATTGAAATGTTTATTTTTGGATTTCCGAAGCCTCATAATTTCGAGCCAGCCTCCAAAATGTCCGAATATGAGTTCCTTTCCAAATAGGGTTTGTTCCAACTTGCGCTGGGTGCAAGGACATAGTTCACAAGAATTGCTGTATGCACTTAGAGTCTAAATAGGACTTCCTGTCCACCTAAGTGTGATATTAACAGCTAAGCAGAACATAATTGAGTTTTAATACGGACAGAACTCAACTGGTGTTTGAAGACACAGTTAAATAAAAGTTCATTTCCATATGACTGAGGTTCAATGTGGAAAATTTGAGCCCAACTCCCCCGCAATCCTCAAAGGCCAGACAACTGTTACCATAGGGAAGGTACTCCATTCAACACAAACACTTGATTGTCCGGTGTTTCTGACATGTGGAGGACAAGCATGCAGAGTAGCAATGACACCTCCCAACTAGAACAGTGAAAGGTAGGCCCCGGAAAGGGGGGGGACCATATGCAGATCTATATATACGTATATATGTATATATATATATATATACATATATATATATATATATATGGTACCCCCCTGGAATACTCAGGTTTTTGGACAGAACTTGACATTTTGGCTGAAAAAATGCATGCAAAACACACGGTGCCGCTTCTAAAAATCAGGCTCCTAAAAATGCACTCCTTTTTAGACTTAAATTCTAGCATCTGTACTTAGTGCAATCCAGGATGTGCTAGCACGTGCTAGCACGTCCTGGATTGAAGATTGAAGATTGAAGATTCTCAGACCACTTGTTCTGGAAATCTTCAATCCGTCCTTAGGACTAACTGGTATGTGCTAGCACGTGCTAGCACATCCTGGATTGAAGATTGAAGATTGAAGATTCTCTGACAACTCTCTCTGGGATTCTTCAATCTTCAATCTTCAATCCAGGATGTGCTAGCACGTGCTAGCACATACCAGTTTGTCCTCAGGATGGGTTGACGATTTCCAGAACAAGTGGTTTGAGAATCTTCAATCTTCAATCTTCAATCCAGGATGTGCTAGCACGTGCTAGCGCATCCTGGATTACTCTAAGTACATATTTGGAGAATTTCAGAAAGAGTTGTCACAGAATCTTGAATTTCCCACCCAGATCCTGGATTGCCTTAAGTGCGGATTTGAAGAATCCAAAAGGCAGAAAGGGAGTGCACGTATGTGCACGTTGTCAGAATCAAAATGTGGATGTGCACTTGCACTGCCTGCAATTGGCCAGGGGGAAGAATGTTGCTGACACCTTTACATTTTTGTGTGGACTTGAGGGCTGGCCAGAATGGAAGATTCTCAAATAGAAAATCTGGTAGATCTGGTAGAATTTGCATGGAGTTGAGCGTCCAGTTCATTTCAGAGTCTCAAGGCATTTGTTACCCCCAGTCGGCCAAAAACCTCAGTTCTGTCCAAAAACCTGAGTATCTCAAGGGGGGAGTAGCATATATATATATATATATCTGTGAATGGAAGTGCGTTTTACGCGGCGCTGAGCTGGCCTCAATTCGCTTAACATGGGAGCATGAGGAGCAAAGAAGAATTAACGCGCAGGTGTCGCGCCATGATCATCCCCACCCGCTTGAAACTAGATAGATGCATTTCATGGTGGTTCCGTAGCTTGCTTTGCGGCGTCGCATTTATCGTGAAGTCCGTGCTTGGATCGCTTTAGGGGAGGTGGGGAAGGAGTCAAAGTTGTCGAAGCAGAAGCGACACCAACACTCGAGATGCAGCGAGTTGCTTGACGACAGTCTTGCCACGGAACACGACCAGCCCTAGCATGGACCCCCTGGGCAAGGCTGTGAATGTGGAAGCCCGGCGAAAAGTATCGAAAACCGAAGATGAACAGCAAGATGCAAAAGACTTGAGATGGCTGAACTGAAAGCCCTCCGAAACATGTCTTTCAGCCCGGTTTCCTTCAGCAGTCAAATCCTGGACACAAGTTCCTGGCCTTTTTCTGTTGTCCTTTGCGCCTTTTTGACCCCAGAGCCCACTCTTTTTGACTCTTTGACAGCTGGGCAGCCTGGGGCTTCGCTTTTAGTTAGCTGTTCTGACATTTTCAGTGAGCGCGAAAACTGAAAAAACTATCCGCGCACTTCACGTGACTCGGCACGCGTGCAAGTTTGATTCATGGACCTCGCGATTCATTCGGGAGTTTCTTGCACATGTGCTCCACTGTTGAACAAACAGCACGGGTGGCAACCACGCATTGCTCACTGCCGCGCGACCTGTTTGCTGAGTGAAGCCCGCTGCAATGGGCCAAAAAGATGCTAAAGGCATAATGTGCCTCTTACAGAGCCTAAACCAAAAGACTGCCAAGCTCAAAGCTACCAAACAGATTGCCAAATCCGCCCGGGGTTTACGATGCTCAAGAAGACAATGATCAGGCCACTGCAGCGATGTTGCTGGAGAAGGCAGAGAAGGCCCGCCTGAGTCTGTGCACTGCGGCCTGCTGCTTGCACAAGCAACTTGAAGACACGCACAGCAGTTATAACTCGGCACACGCGGACGTCACACAACGCAGTTTTGCTACGCAAGCTGGGGCTGGCAAAATTGTTTTTTTGAGCTCTCCCCCTGCAAGGCTGTGGCAGACAGGGCGAGGCAGAGAGACGAACTGCAGGGGTCACATTCCGCGTGGCGATAGAATGACAGCGGAGCCTGGCATCTAAGGGTAGCCGAGCGCCATGCTATGCGACTACAGGAGAGTTGCATCCGTGTTGCTTGGTAATATGCACACAGTGTAGTGACAGACCGTTTTGCTATAAGGCTCGCAGCCAGGACTTTGCTTCTCGAGCGGACCCAGACGTTCCACAGGACCAGGTACGCGCACTCCCGGGAAATTGTTGTTAAATTTGTGTCTCATCGGAAGGCGGAAGCTGCAAAGAGCAGGAAAAGACAGCTGGAGGAGGTCGGCTTAGCGTCAAGCATTGCTGATCAGCAGTACGGGCTGCCATTACGAAAAGGCAACCGTAGGCCTTGGCGGTCCAAAACGCAAGCAAGCTACAAAGAGACAGATTAGACACACAGCATTCCAATAGAGATCATGTCGGAGTCAGGCTGGAAGACAGTACCTTCATCATACGGTTGGCAAAGTCAATGCTGATGCAAGGAGTTCCGCTTGAAGGCCAAAAAGGAGATGGAGATGCCTTACTGCCACGTTTGTTTGTTTGATTCCAAAGATTGAAGTTGCGCGGGCAGGAAAGCACGGCGACGGGCAGATCATGGCCCAGTGGACTAGCTGAATGGTCTTTGCCATAAGATCATGCCTCTAGCTTCAGATGTAATCAAGGATTCGACTTACTCGTTTGATGTTCGTGGCAAGGGTCCCTATGTGTGTTTCAACCCCGTTGTTCATTGCATTTACCAATCCTTCTTTGTGAAGAAAGGCATTGAAAAGGTGTTGGGGTTCCCGAATTTGAGATGCACCGATATACACCACCTTTTCTAGATCTTAGTCTTCTATGCGCTTTGATGCTCTATTGTTGAAAGCATGCAAGGATTCAGCAAGCGTGCTTTGTTGGGAGCTCACTGTTTTGCCGTCGTTTTGACACTGCGCAAGGTTCTCGAGCGCCAGCGCACACTGAAGGCCGGCATGTTCAGTGAGCAGAGGACGTGGTGTGCAGCTCTGTGAACGCTTGATAGACGCGGACTTCACTCCGTAGAGAAGGCTCCAGCCTACCTCCAGGCGCTGCTGCGTGTGTCGATCATGCGAGTCAGTTGGTCACCTATTGTGAATTTGGGAGGAAACCAAAAGCAAGATCTACTGCTGCTTATTGCCTGCTTTTGAGTAAGCGGGGGGGCAGTAGTTTAAAGCTTTAGTTGAAAACAGAAGTTCAAAGGGGGGGCTCATGTGGGCTGGCGCATCTGCATGATTGTCCTGCCCAGATCTACCATTTGCAGCCAAGTTGACAGGCCGCGTGACATGCACAGACTGTGGCAATATTGGCATATTGGCATATTGGCATTGTGCAATGCGTGTGGAGCCGCCTGGCAGACTCCGACCTTATGTTGGCTGAAGCTCTGGAGGTTCGTTTGCACAGCCATTTCGTTTTCGGTTGACCGTTTCATTTGGGCAGTCAGCATTACTGGTAGGCTATGGTTCCTTTCCGATTACGCGGCTTTCCCTATATTTTCACATAGAAGGTAGGAGGACTGCGGAAGGTTGTCCATTGCTGACGTGATATCAACATCTGGCACGCTGGCTGCCGCCGCAACTGCTCAGGCGCAGCAGGCAGAAAAGGCACGCAGAGTGTCATGCATGGGCGTCTTTGCATGATATCTGGGCACTCTGAGATACCACATTCAAGCCATTGGCTTTACCAACTGAGAGTTGCAAGTCCAATCGCGCATGACCGCGTACATCCAGACGCATACTTGGTGCTTGGTGTCTGAGTTGCGTGCCAGAAAAACCCTGCTGCAGCAAGCCAGTTGCAGAATGCAGGCAGGCCATGGGACATGTTCGACACGCGCAATGCCATGGGACATGTTCTTTCCAGGAAGACATGCGGCTCGTGTATCGATTGCTGGGAGCCTTGTTTCAATGGACGACGAAGACGTGGAACGGGAAATGCTCCAGGCCTGGCAACGATACGTAGCCAGAAACGCCAGCGTCAACTGCATCCAGGCCCTGGAGGAGAGAAGCTCTCATTGGATGAAGGAGATGAGGCCATTGGTGTTGATATTTTCCTCGGAAGGCATGATGTGTCTCCTTTGCTCGCCGTTCAGCAATGTAGCTGCAAAGCTCGTACTTGCCCCAGTTGCCGAATCCCGCCAATTCTAAAGATTCCGTTGCGCGAACCTGTCCCGATCCTGAATTAGTTAGCTTGACGCCCCCGAATCTGATGAATAACTCAACGACCGTCGATATCGAAGAGAAGCTCTGTGTGGGACTTCGACTTCGAGTCCCATGTCCGAACTCTCCAAGCCTCTGGCACCTCAGGAAAGCTTCCTGTATTGTACTGTGACTAGCGTCGCATGCTCTCCCACACTCCAGTTGTGTGTACTGCGCCAGTCACTGCAAAGGATTCGCCAGAGTGAGAACACAATTGGTCCTTTCTCCCTTCCGTGAGGCGGCAGAAGGAGAACAGCAAAAGAATTGTTTGAAGGGAAGAGGTGAACATGTTCAGATGTAAGTTTTCCCCTTGCCAAAGGCAGTTTCACTTCGGTGTGGCGCATAGATTGAACCACCAAAGGTGGTTTGAGCGTCAAGAAATTTGTGTAGTGACCCAGTGTGATACAGTTGCCAAAAGCGTGAGAGCAAGAGCAGCATTTGCTGGGCTGAGGAGAGCATGAACAGGCAGGGCCAGCAAAAGTGTGCTCTCAGATACAAGCCAGGCACATGTTGACAACGTTGACACTGCAGAGTTGACACGCCGCTGATTGCTGGTCTCAAGCTGGAGTCGGGCTGAACGTATCCCACAGCCCCCCATGTCAACCTGCAAACCGAACCGAATGTGTCTTGGTGGCAGAGTATGCGCGCAGCCGGTTTCGGCTGAACCCAGTTTTTTGGATGGCAATCTTCAGTGGCAGTCGTGTGGCATTTTTGAGGTACTAATGCGGCAATGCCAGTGCTTGAAAGTATGGGTCTTACGCACTTGCATGCTGCATTCATGAGCAGTGCGCTTTGCTTTCAACACCCGAGCAGGTGTATCCATGTTGCAGTTTCTCGCTTGCGGACAGGTTTGGAAGGGAGGAGCTTGCTCGTGCTTGCGAGCCTGGCAGCAGGGAGCCAAACGTGCTGATTGTGTGCTCTGTGAGTGCTCGAGTGTGTAATGATATATGCATATATGTATGTATATATATATATATATATACATATATGGAGATGTGTATAGATTTTGTGTGTATGTGCTTGCGTGTGTGTTTTTGTTGTTTGTCTTGTTTGTCTTGTTTGTCTTGTTTGTTTGTTTGTCTTTCTGTCCGTCCGTCCGTCTGTCTGTCTTTCTGTCTGTCTTTCTCTCTGTCTGTGTGTTTGTTTGTTTGTTTGTCTGTTTGTTCGTTTAATTGTTTGTTCTTTTGTTTGTGTGCGTGCGTGCGTGCGTGCGTGCGTGCGTGCGTGCGTGCGTGCGTGCGTGCGTGGGTGGGTGGGTGGGTGGGTGTGTGTGTGTGTGTGTGTCTGTGTCTCTGTGTCTCTGTGTCTCTGTGTCTCTGTGTCTCTGTGTCTCTGTGTCTCTGTGTCTCTGTGTCTCTGTGTCTCTGTGTGTCTCTGTGTCTCTGTGTCTCTGTGTCTCTGTGTCTCTGTGTCTCTGTGTCTCTGTGTCTCTGTGTCTCTGTGTCTCTGTGTCTCTGTGTCTCTGTGTCTCTGTGTCTCTGTGTCTCTGTGTCTCTGTGTCTCTGTGTCTCTGTGTCTCTGTGTCTCTGTGTCTCTGTGTCTCTGTGTCTCTGTGTCTCTGTGTCTCTGTGTCTCTGTGTCTCTGTGTCTCTGTGTCTCTGTGTCTCTGTGTCTCTGTGTCTCTGTGTCTCTGTGTCTCTGTGTCTCTGTGTCTCTGTGTCTCTGTGTCTCTGTGTCTCTGTGTCTCTGTGTCTGTGTGTCTCTGTGTCTCTGTGTCTGTGTGTCTGTGTGTCTGTGTGTCTGGGTGTCTGTGTGTCTGTGTGTCTGTGTGTCTGTGTGTCTGTGTGTCTGTGTGTCTGTGTGTCTTTGTGTCTGTGTGCGTGTGCGTGTGCGTGCGTGTGCTCATGTGTGTGTGTGTGCATATATATGTAAATGTTTGCTGCTTTAGCCCCTTGAACAACTCTTGCTTTGGAGCCCCCAGCAAGTCCTTTTGCAAAAGCTGGTGCTCAGGTGACCTGTTGCCTAGAACTAGCGCAGCTGCTGGTTCTGGCATTGTGTTGCTTGATGTACATATTGCCTGCCACTTAGATGTGGACAGTGTCCAGTCGGATCTTAGCCAAACCAATTCTAGCGACCAGCTAAGGTTGAGAAATGGTTGGATGCATCTCCAGCAGAGCAGGACGGCGGGGAAGGCGTTCAACAGCCGGCAGGAACTGCTAGGAACGGCTTTTGAATGGATCAAATCCAGCGCAACGCATAAGCAATGGCTGCGATTGCTCCAGGAACGTAGACCTCGCGTCGCTGAAGATACCGCCTCGGCCTTCATCGCGTCCGAAATTTTGCCCCAGCAGTCAGTTGCCGCAGGCCCAGGCAATTTTGGCAGATCCAATGGTATTGGCAGTCAAGTCTCTCTCAGAACCTTGAATTGTCTCAGCCTCTCCGCAGGCCAAGGCTCAAGAAGGCAAGTAGTTGAACAGTTTTCCTTTGCTAGGTAGATTGGCGACGAGTCTTGCAACTGCTTGTCGCAAAGTTTTATAGGGGAGAGGCAGCGTTAAAGAAGACAGACTTCATTCTTCATTGTCTGCAAGAACGCAGAATCTCTAGCTTCAGAGTGCATGTGCAGCAGCGTGCGCTCGGCAGCGCCGAAGTCGGTTGAGCGACAGTGCGACAGTTATACTCTGCATGCCAAAGCGCAAGCGAAAGAGGACGAACAAGAATCACATTGACTTGACTGGCCTTACACAGAGTGAGCTTTGGTGATTGTGCGTGATGCGAGGACTCGGCCAGCAAAGGTGGGGGAGCCGTTGAGTCCTGCGCAAGCGGATCATACTGATCATGCCTGGGTGGCAACGGATCCGCTTGACCATGTCACCCAGCTGCACTTGCAAGCGCTCAATCATTATCCGTGTTTGCGTTTCTTGCGCTGTCAGATCCCATGAGGCTGAAACAGAACTTCGAGCCTTTTTCCACGTGAGCTCAGCTGCACTGAGAACAGTCGTGACGTGTCGTGGCACACGTGCGATGGGGTCTGTTTGCGCGTGCTGCGAGGTTATGTAGCACGCATGAAACAACGAACGGCCCAGTGTTTCAAGACGTTCCTGCAGTGTCGGTGGGCATTGCCAGGGCATTTTCACGCACTCTGCGAGAATGTGTGGCCGCGGTGTTTTTTGAGACTTTTTGGAAAAGAGGGTGAATTTGCTCCTTGCCATCACCTTATCAACGTCGCAGGCGTGCGTGGCAACGTGTTGTGGCAGACTTGGAATCGCCGCGCACATCTCGATCATGGCTGGGGGGTCAGTTTGCAGCGGGAAATTTGTCGGACCAGCGCCGGACCAATTGTCTGTCGCTTTCCAAAAACGGGCCAGCATCCTAACGCAAGGCCGCGAGGCCAGACGAAGAGGCTGAAGCCAGCGGCTGACTTCAACGCAAGCGCAGGCAGAACTTTCTTCGGTGAGAAAAAGGTCTTTGGCAAAGCGCTGGTGGATCCTGAGATGGGTGGGCACAAGCGAGCAAGTTGCCAGAGCAAGCTGGGGCGTCGCGAGGTTCTAAAATTATCCCAGCTGTTCCGCGCAATTTTGGTGTATTGCTCGACTTGCAACCTTCCAAGAACTGTTCTGGGCAACCGGCCGCAACTGGAGGCGCAGTCCAGGAGCTCAACCACTGACCCGAGCGACGTGCCAGGCTGCGACCCAGGTGTGCGCAGGTTTAAAATTACGAAGGTGCGCGCCTAAAGGCTGTGTTCTAGGAGAGTGCCCGCTGATGCACTGAGGGGCACGGTCTACTTGCAGAGGATGCGCGTTGGCGAGACACCCTTCCCCCCTTCCGCGTAGAAAACAAATTGGAACTTGGCGGTAAAAACGCGGTGCTGGGAGCACTGTTGACAATTGGTACAGTATTGCTGAGTCAGTGGACTGACTCTGAAAGTTGCTGCCGGGCTGAGCCAGTTCTCACGTTGCTGACTGCGCCACTATTGACGAACATATCTTCACACGCACACACGCGCGGCCGCGCTCCAATCTGAGGATGTGCTAAGATACCTTAGTGCGTTCCCAGGCTCAGTATTGTAGGCTAATGAGGGTTGCGATTGGCACGCAAAGCCTACAGGCTGGGTGTTGATTGAAGTAGGGTGCCACACCTTTACGTGCGTGCATATACGCGTTTCGCTTGCGCGAGAGCGTTGCCTTCTGAAAAGGTCCAACCTGTGTTGGAGCTGCTAGCGCAGCAGCTCCACGTGACTTCTGCGCAACTGCAGATTTGGGATCCGTACTTCTGCAGCTTAGCTTCTCAACTTTTCAATATGTCTCGCTTTGCGCGGGTTACTTTGTTACTTTGTTCAGATTGCGTGAACTCTGCGCTTGATTTGTTTGAGGCAAAGGCGCCATGGTGCAGCATTTGGAGAAGCTCGGATTCCACAATGTGCGCAACGTGAATGAGGAGCGCCCAGCTGCTTTTTAGAGGCGGTCGGCCAAAGGCTTGCAGCCAGGGCAGTGTTCACGCTAGGACTTCTACAAGCTCATTTCAGAAGGGCGTGTTCCAGAACACCAGGTCCTCGTGACGAATCCGCCGTACTCTGCAAATCACTTGCAGCGATGTCTTGAGCAGCTTGGTTTGAATCGATTTCAGGTTTCAGTTCAGCCACAGTTTCCATGCCAACCAGATACAGTTTCACGTGTGCTTTGAGTGTGGCTTTTGCCAGGTTTTGCTGCAGCTCCTCCAAGCCATGCCTGGTCTTGCTTCCGAATTGGGTAGCGAAGAAGCCATACTTCGCAGCTTTGCCCCTTGGCTTAAGCTTGATGTCTTGATGTTCATATTTTTTGTCAAGGAGCGCGCTCGCCAAGATTTGGTTTCTAGCGCGGAGGAAGATGCCAACAACACAGCTTTGGGGCACAGGCCTGTTTTCATAAGATTGACAGTATTGGCTGAAACAGCTCTGCATGCTGCACTGAGATCTAGCAAACTGAAAGATTCCATCTCTATGTTCTTTATAGCACCGAGCAGTAGCTGCTAGGCTGAATTGCGCTTTCTCCTTTGCTGTCGAGGGGCGTCTCTTTCTGAAGCTGCTTACACCGCCGTTGCAAGGATATCAGTATACCATGCCGGCAGACTTGGTCCCAGAGTCAGTTCGACCGTCCTGGGTGAGAGCAGATGGCAAGACATCACCTTACAACTGCTCCTGGTGCCATGACGCACAGTTGCATGGCTTGGCGTTGCCAGAGAACTATCAAACTTCGCTTGCTTCATTGCGTAGGTATATCTTGCTGCCACCGGCGCATGCGTCGAGTAGGCTCTTCGCGGCTTGGCTGCGAGTGTGTGTGTGTGTGTATGTGTGTGTGTGTGTGTGTGTGTGTGTGTGTGTGTGTGTGTGTGTGTGTGTGTGTGTGTGCATGTTGTGTGTTTGTGTGCTCGCATGTCTGCGCGTTCGTGTGTTTGCGCGTTTGTGCGCGCATGAGTGTGCGCGTGCGTGTTTGTGTGTTTGTGCATTTGTGCGCGCACCTGGTGTGGGTCTGTGTGTTTGTGCGTCTGTTGCGTTCGCCTGGGTGTGTGTCTGTGTGTGCGCGTGCGTTGCGTCTCTGTGTCTGTTTCTGTGTCTGTGTCTCTCTGTGTGCGTGTCTCTCTGTGTGTGTGTCTCTCTCTCCGCGTCGACACACAGGCACACAGACACAGAGACACACAAACACAGACAGACACACAGACACACAGACGGCAGACAAACACAGAGACACACAGAGCCACGCGCGCGCGCCTCATGCCCGCACACGCATGACCAACATATCTTCATACACGCTCACGCGCAGACGCACAGACACACAACATATACACAGACACAAAGACACACAGACACATAGACACGCAGACGCACCGTCGCACAAACACACCCACACACACACACACACACACAGACACGCAGACACACGACACAGACAGAAATCTCTCTCTCTCTCTCTCTCTCTCTCTCTCTCTCTCTCTCTCTCTGTGTACGTGTGACTGTGTGTGTGTGTGTGTGTGTCTGCGTGTTTCTGTCTTGTAGGTGTGTCTGTGTGTGCGTGTCTGTGTTTGTGTGTTTGTGTGTTTGTGTGTTTGTGTGTTTGTGTGTTTGTGTGTTTGTGTGTGTGTGTGTGTTTGTGCGCCGGTGTGCGCCGGTTTGTCTCGGCTTGTGTCGGCTTGTGTCGGCTTGTCTCGGTGTGTCTCGGTGTCTGTCGGTGTCTCTGAGTCTCTGTGTTTGATCAACTCCTGTAGCATGGCCTGGTGGGATTGGGCCTAGGAGTGTCCATTCTTGAAGCCACACAGTTCACATCTCTGAAGCGTTCATCTCGAGACCAGCCTATCACTTTGTTGTGAAGTCTTCTTCCAACAGCTGTCCACGATGGATTCAATAACGCCAACGTACATCAGTATCATTCGTGGTAAGTCTCGCCAGGCCGACACAGAAGGAGGACAGAAAAATGGCCGAGTGACACCAAGTGAAGCTTCTGTGCGCTGCAAAGAATTTCTGTGTTCGCTGTCTGTCTGTCTGTCCGTCCGTCCGTCTGTCCGTCTGTCCGCCTGTCCGTCTGTCCGTCTGTCCGTCTGTCCGTCTGTCCGCTGTCCGTCTGTCCGTCCGTCTTTTTTTTGTCTGTCTGTCTCGGTGTCGGTCTGTGGTCTGTCGATCTGTCGGTCCCTCGGTCTGTCCGTTTGTCGGTCTGTCCGTCTGTCCGTCTGTCCGTCTGTCCGTCTGTCGGTCTGTCGGCCTGTCGGCCTGTCGGCCTGTCGGCCGGCCGGCCGGCCGGTCGGCAGGCCTGTCTCCGCCCCTGTTTCTGTCCCTGGCTCTGGCTCTGGCTCTGTCTCTGTCTCTGTCTCTGTCTCTGTCTCTGTCTCTGTCTCTCTCTCTCTCTCTCTCTCTCTCTCTCTCTCTCTCTCTCTCTCTCTCTCTCTCTCTCTCTAACTCTCTCTCCCTCTCTCGCTCTCTCTGTGTCTCTGCGTGTGCATCTCTGTGAAGGTGTCTTTGTGCGTGCGTCTTTGCGCGTGTCTCTGCGCGTGTCTCTGCTCGTGTGTCTGCGTGTCTGTGTGTGTGTGAGTGTCTCTGCGTGTGTCTCTGTGAATGTCTCTGCGTTTGTCCCTCTTTGCGCCTCTCTGTGCGTGTCTCTGTGTTTCTCGATCTGTGTGCGTGTCTCTGCGCGTGTCTTGTTGTGTTTCTGTGTCTTTCTCTCTGTGTGTTTCTGTTAGTGTCTCTCTCTCTCTCTCTCTGTATCTGTCTGTCTGTGTTTGTGTGTGTGTCTGTGTCTCTGTCTGCGTCTGCGTCTCTATCTGTATCTGTGTTCTTGTCTCCGTGTCTCTGTGTCTCTGTGCCTGGGTCTCTGCGTCTGTGTGTCTGTGTCTGTGTGTTTGTGTCTGTGTCTCTGTGTGTATGTGTGTCTGTGCGTCTGTGAGTCTGTGTGTTTGCGCGGGCGGGTCTGCGTCAGCGTTTGCGCGTGTGTGCATGCGTGCGCGCGCGCGGGCTGGGTGCGCGCGCGCGAGTCGCAGCCAGAGTAAAACTAGGGTTTGATCGCGCGTTTAGACCTCATGCTGTTGCTGAGTCACACCGCAATGTCTCATCTTCGCAGGAAACTTTGGAGTCGCGCCTGAGCCACGATTGCATCCTCGCAAAGAGCTTGCAGGTGTTGCTGCCATTGCTTCGCTTTGCCGTGGGCTCTTCACTGCTTGTGAGGCTGTGAAGTGGAAGCAGAAAAAGGCGCAAGCGACTGGCGGAGCTGTTGCAGCAAGATCGACGGAGTCAGCAGCGCTTTGGCACTGAAGAAGTCTGCTTGCACTCACATCGAGGGAGATTCAAAACGTTATTTGACAACAACCCAACTGGGTGATGCTGTGTGCGTGCGTGTTTGTTTGGTGGGGTTTGCCGGCGCTTGAAATGTGGCAAGAAAGGCAGCTGCGATTGTCAAAAGGCAGCTCAGCCGCAGATTGTTTCATATAGCTATAGTGCTGGAGGCGTTTCTTTGCTGTCCAAGGCAATCCAAGTCAAGGAAAGAGGGCTGGCGGAAAAAGAGTGTCTCATCCAGCTTACAAATCGTTACTTGCAAGACCACATATCACATGAGTAGGGGGAATGAAGCCGGCTAGTCAAGGCTGTGGCCGAGGCCCATCAGGCAAGAAAGCAAAGTCCCTGTGCAGCCGCCAAACTTCCAGTCTTGCGGCTTATCTGCGCAGGCGCAGTCGGGTACAGTCGGGTTTGTTGCGACTAATTCAGTTGATTGCCTTCGCAGGTTGATGAGCTGCTGGAGCTGATCACGCCAGCAGCCAAGACAATTCGACGCAAGCGTTCGCAACACATACCGGCACGAACTGCAAGCAAAGGCCCTCCGAAGCATCAGAGCGGGCCAGGGCCTTGGGCACCACGTCTCCCACCGTCAGGTCTCAGAAACGGTGGGCGTGCTAGAAGAATTTAGGTTGCCAACGAGCTTGCAGAATACACTCAGTCGTGCCTCGGCTTCTTAAGCGTGTTCAGATGTTCAACAATTGACACTTGATCAGTGTACTTGTTGTGCAACATGCTGTAGCTCAGGATCATCCAAGAGATGCTTTCTGGAGCTTCAGTCCAAGCCTTGACTTTCTAGCTGCCGGAGTGTTGCAAAAAGCGCGGAAGGTCTCCGGCTACGCGAACGCCGATGTGCTGCGCGGCACTGCCTTTGGAGTTGCCGTGTGTCTCTTAGAGTCTCAGAGTATGACGATTTTGCAGCGATTTGGTTTTGACTCGTCAGTGAGGTTCCAGAAATCGACTTAGTGGTGACTGCGGACCCCGACTCTTTGGAAAGACAGCTGCAAGGTCAGGGAGCCATGCAGGGCGCATCCCTTCAGCACATGCGTTTTGCATGTTGGTTTGAGGGAAGGGAAAACGTCGGAACAACATGTCGCGGCGACAGCCTTCCCAAGCTCGTTTGTGCTTAAGATTGAAAACCACAGAAACTGTTAATGCTCGTCGCGTTCATGCTGGGATTGACTTTTGAGGCCGGCTTGCAAAGGGTGGCATCCCCAAAACACGCCAGCAGCTTAGTCTTGGTTCCATCACTCAGTAAATCATGCAGTGGAGTCGTTGCAGCTGTTCGCATCTTGAGGCATGGACTCTCGAAAGATGCAAAAGTCAGCCATTCGCGCCTGCGATTCGCTCGGAATACAATCCGGAGTTGTTTAGGGACAAGTTAGTTGTTTTCCTTGTTTTTTTCCCGCGTTGCGTGACACTTCAGGCACAGATTTGCTCGTGGCGGTCCGCGTCCGAGTTCTGTCACACTCCAGCAAGCTGTGAATTCTGTCCAGGCTGGAGGCTTTAAGTTCCGCAGATCCGCCTTTCGCTGTGAAGAGCCCAAGGCCTTCGCATGCGCAGTTTAAGAGTGTCGCTAGCGCCATGCTTGAACGCAAGGTGACGTTGATGGGGCCATCTACGATGAGTGTCCGAACACTTATTCATGCTAGTGAGCGCTTGCGGAATCGATGTGCGAAGGTTTCCGGCCAGGGCATTCCTGTCGACTTTTCTGTCAACTGCGCCGCAAACTTGGGGCGCATCTGCCACGCTGAACATGACCACGTTTCACAAGGCAACTCCAGGCTGCCACGCAGCACTGATCGCAGCATGCGGAGAGCGGACGTCTTAAAGAGCAAATTGGTCGGCGCAATGTCAGCCCCGTATTCGCAATCCCTACGTGCGCAAAGGATTGATGAAAGATCCCGTGGCCTTATTTTGCTCGTGCGGTCATGCACTTAGTTGCCAGACGACGGTTTGTTTGTTGACAGCGAGCCGAGCTTGTCGCTCTCATGCTGTCTCGCCTCTGAGCTCAGGCGCTGGTCCAAAGACCGTGGCGTGTTGCGCGCTCAGATGCAGGAAGCAGCGGCAAAATTTGGCAACGCAAGCGGCGGGCACAAGAGATGCAAAGACAAGGCGCAGCCACGCATCAAGTTGGGTCAAGTTGCCACGAGGTGCCACGTTGCGCGAGGACATTTACCTCCATACGGCTGGACACTGCTGGCAATTTTCTATCTGCAGGTGCAAAGTGTTGGATTCCACACTTGCGCGCAGTGACCTTTCATGGAGCCACTCTTGGGCTTGTCGGAAGGCCCAAGAAAAGCTGTTGCCGCCGATGTCCGGGCTGAATCTTGTTTGCACTTAAAGGAGAGACGCCACCCTGAAGCCGATTTATGGTGTCATTGCTAGCGCTTCACAGTGCTGCATCAGGAAGTCTGGTGCTCGTTATGAAGCCCTAGGCTTAGACCACGAGGATCATTGATCATTCAAAGACGCTGTCCGCTGATGAGGTTCAGAAGAGGCAAGTGCCAGGCGGGCGCTTCCTTCGCTTCCTTTCAAGCCGGCTTGGTCTCATGGCGTTGAGGCCGGCTCAACGACTGCACTGTTGGCAGCTTCTTCGCGGGCTTTGTAGGCATCGCTGACCATTGAGATCGCGTTGTTTTTGTATCGTGGGAGGCTTTTACCAGCAGATTGACTTGCAACAGGAGGCCACTGCGCAACAAGACCTGGCACCTCAAAGTTGACCGTTTGCCATGCTCTCCAGGTTGTGTCGCTCCGACGTGGTGTGAGACAGGAAAGCCAGACAGGGCCTCGGTTTGCAAGTGAGTCATTGGGCCCAACACGTTGATTGCTGTCAGCCAAGCTTGGCTATTAAATGGCGAAGCGGCAACTTTTTGCCTCGACGAAGGCCACCGCAGCTGGTTGCTGCACACACACACACACGCATACACACACGCATACACACCTTTGCGTCAACTCCACAACGCCGTCATTTGCAAATAAGGAAAGCCCTTGATCAAAGCAACGTTTTCGCGAAAACCTAGTCGACCTGACAGACAACAAGACAGATCGCCGACCGACGACCGTAATTATGAGCAACTTGCCAACGAACCTTTGGCGCACTAGTTTGTCGAATGGTAGAGAGAAGTATTTCTACATTGCATCGTTATTCAGGGCAAAAGCTCTAGGCAGACTACGCGAAGACTGTGACGGCAAGACTGGAAAACTACCTGGAGCTACCTTTGGGCCCTTTTTTTGCGTACCACTTTTTTGCGCTCGGTTTCCTAAGAAACGCTCGTTTTTTATCCATGGAAATTTCTGCTCGCTTTTTTCCTCTAAAAACAAAAGTGCTCGGTTTTTTTGGAAAGTACATTATTAATGGCTCAACCATCCACACCAGATGCGTTTGGTGCCCAAAGCAGCACTATACCTTAAATGTTCTGCATTGTCCCTAGGCAGTCCACTCAAATTAATTATCATCTACCACGGCCGCGAAGCACAGCAGCTTTTTATCTTTTCCAAAGCCGTTGCTTTCGCCACTGCCGGCGGTAGTGCAACAGAGTCCGCTGAGTGGTTGTCAATGCTGTGCACAGCGCATGTGTTCTCCTGCTGGTTCTAGAGACCTGCCAGGTTCTACGAAGTGTACACATGTATGCAGTTTGCAGGTTTGAGCCACCCACACATGAAAGGCAGCCAAGAAACCCGGCCAATGAAATCTTCATCTTGCCACGTTGCGAAACCTGGCCAAGCAACAATTTGGAGAAAAAAAGAAAAAGAAATTTGAGACACACTGAGGCATAGTCTTCGTGGAGAAAGTACCCATGTACCGCTAGATCGAATCTGGTCACTCATCCACAGCCTGATGCACACACGAAACAACATGACAATTTCCTGCTTCAAACAACATGCACATCCTGAAGCACAATTCTTAACCAAGCAGCGCCCATCCTTATCTTCCCACATCTCCAGAACTTCCTTCGAAGCTTTGGACGGGCCTCCATTTCGAGGCTTCACGTATCGCCGAATCCTCAGCACGCATGCACACAAATAACGCTATTGCAAGTCTACAAAGCACATGCTGCATGAAGTTCAGTCACATGTCGGACACTCCTTCCAGTGTCACACATGAAGCGCATGCCACTGCGCACACAAGGTACCTGGGCGGCATCGAAGACGGGGAAGCTGAGCATCCTCCTGACTTGAGAAGGCGCAGCACTCATAGATTCAACCGGCTGTGTCCCATGGGCCACATCTCTGGGCGTAACAGGTGCAGGCACATGTCGCCACCGGGCTAGCTCATCTTTCACATCCTGCAACTCATCCTCCAAAAGGGAAAGCCGGTAGGTTTTCTCGGCAATGCCGCGGCCAAGAACTTTGCGACGCCCCTGTAGCTCGTCGACGCGCTCCAAAGTTTCCACCATGTTCAACTCACGCACAACTTGCGACTTCTCATCATTAAGCTTGCTCAGGTTCACGCGCAGCATGTCTCGCTTTGCATTGAGCACCGAAAGAGCTTCTTGAAGCTCTCTCTCTTCTGCTCGCAGCGAGTCGTCGATCTGTGTCTCACTAGCCGGTTGCGTCTCCTGCTTTGCAATCATTGCCTCAGGGTAGGACTTGATATTGCAAACCCATGCATGGGGGGGGGGGGCATGCACATGCATGCATGCATGCATGAGTTCATGAGTGCCTGGTTGCATTGCTATACACATGCATGAGTGAATCTCATGCATGCATGGCGCCATGTGGGGGAACCTGTTGCCACGACACTGCACGTAATCAAGGTCCCTACCGCAGCGTTGCGTTCGCCATGCAGCGCACCCTGCGCACACTATACGTGAACAACACTTGCATGTTGTCAGGTCCTTGAAGCCACCCGAGTCATGCTTTGACGCAGCACCGGCCTGACAAGTACACAGCAAACCATGAAGCACCCGCAGACTCAGCTGAGCCAACCGTACACACTAACTCACACACAAATGTCCTGAGCATCCTTTTCCTGATGAAGGTGCAAATGTTGAACTCAGACAGTATGGCATCAAGGAACACCACAGTCCTCAGCTTTCTTTTCAGTAGAGCACACGTCCTGCACTCCGCGCCACAGCTCCATTGTACGATCGCATCATGGAACATGGAATCTGCATGTCCTTTGTCTGCTCACCTACTTGTCCATGCATGCATGCATGCTGCCACCCGGTCCTGCCGGGGTTGATGGGGCTGACACTTTCTCACCACTCATGCATGGGCTGTCACGACTCAAGAAATTGCAAATTCTGTGTTGAATAATTGAATGTCGCCACCATAGGAACTTTGAAAAGGTATTTCTCGTACTTGCACTGCCCGCCAGGAGTGAGGCCAAACTCTAGCTCGCTGTTGCACTTGCCCTGGATTTTGTCCTGATTCTCCGTGAGAAAGGCTGCCATGACCCCTTGCTTTCAACACGCCATGTGTTCCTGATGCACCTTCGCAGGCTCGTCGAGGAGGCGGTGTTGCAGCCTCGGCACCTGGGCAAAGCAAACATGGGCAGGCTGAAAGATGTGGACGCAAGCACGCGACGCCTTCAAACTCTCGCTTGTGCAACATGCCCACGAATGCATTCCACGCATGGCATCAGCTGATCACACACTCATGCATGTTTTTCCTGCATGCATGCATGCATGCATGCATGCATGCATGTTGACACACATGACAAGCATTGCACTCATTAGTTGTTTAGCCTTGCATGCATGAGTGAATGGCACGCATGCATGAACAGGCATGCATGCATGACTGGAAATGCATGCATGAACAACATTCATGACATGTCATGCAGAATGGCAAACGTGCATGTGTCATGAAACTGGCATGCGTGCGTGAATGCAGTGGGCTGAGTCCACATGCGCCACCATGCCTGTGCCAGGCGGCGATGGCAGCGATGTTGCAGCCTCATCACCTGGCCAAGGCATGTGGCTGTCAGTAGCCTGGCGCGTGAGATGAGTTCAAGGCTTGGGGCCAGCTCAGGCACTGCGTGCCCCTCCAACAGATCTGCATCACCTGCCAACTATACAACAAACATGCATGCGCAGGTGTGCTCGCCCTCACGTTGTCAAGAAGCCAGGCCTGCAATGCTCTCTTCGGCCTGGGCAAGGGGCGCTGTGTGTGTGTGTGCATTGCTTCAAACATGCATATGCACGGCTAGGTGCCGAATCCCCAGAGGACTCAAGTCGCTACTGCTTCCTTCATCACGGTCACCTGCACTTATACATGCTACAGGGTCCGGCATGCTTCAGGCCAGGCCTGAAAGGGGCACATCGGCCAAGCCATAGATCCTGCGAATCTCGACGATGCGTGGACGATGCGGCCGCCTGCTGGCAAAAGTGCATGCATGAGCAGGCATGCATGCATGCATGCATGCATGCATGCATGCATATATGCATGCGTGACATACGTGACATGCGCGATCCATGTTGCCATGCCGAGGCACTTGGCCACCCTGCTGAACAAGCTGATGAGCCGCTTCAGCAGTCTCGCATGCATTTGCACCCTGATGCCTGCAGGTTGGAACGACGAGCCCACTCCATCGCACGCACACACATACATGCAACACACATCGAGATTCCAAGGTCGTGCGTGCACACATCAACAAGTGCATGCTACATCATGCAACTAAGAAACTCCACGCAGAGGCAACATCATCATGCATGAGCATGAAACATCAACACAAGCTACGCGAGCACACATGCTTACACCGAGCTGCTGCACACCCGCTCTGTGCGAGGCAACGCCATGGAGAAGAACTGAAACACCGCGCTGTTGAGCACGCTGGTTGCCGGCCGCATGCCCAAATGCTTGATTGCCAGCCCGACCTGATAGTAGTTGTCGCGTAGCAAACCTAGAGCAAAGGTGCAAAAAAGGTAACGCGGCATCACACTAGCTAGCTTGGCTTTTCCACATGCAACTGCCACACTACAAGGCTTGCGCTAAACATACATGCCAGATCATGCAGTCTGACACAAATTGAGAAAGACAAGCAACCACGGTTAACCCTACACCTCTGCGGAAGGCGAAGAAGCGCATGCCGGCATCCCAGCAGTTTCACCTCCTCAATCTGCACCCATGATGCAGCGAAGGAAGCGGCCTGTTCCAGCATGGCCATGGCCAATGCACACACGCATGCACGCACAGCTTCAAGTGTCACACTCTTAAGGAGCCAGCAGCCACAGCCAACAAACACATGTACAGACTCACATCACACCACACGCGCAAGCAGAATGCCACATGCATGACCATGCGTGCGTGACCATACATGAGTGCAAATGCGTGGCTGCAACCAAGCCCCTTTATACAAGACCTCGCGTGGGGGGGGGGGGGGCACAAGATCAACGACCCAGGCACCTGGCGCATAAGCAGCACATGCTCGCTAGCAGAAATCTGCCTGCCTTGCTGCTCTGACCAAAGATTCTGCTGACGCCCTCGCGGGACACGTGCCCAAGCCACTGCACTCCTAGAACAGCCCCAGGCCACAACAGCACACACTGCATGTTTGACACTGTCCTTGCTTGTCTGCCATGGCTTCACAGGCACTATGTACAAAATGAGCCCAAAAGCAGTGAGTCATGCCAGCCAGGCCCACATAAAAAAAAGTGCTCGGGAAAAACGCTCGATAAAAAAACGCTTGTTTGGTGGCATGAAAACTAAAAGAGTACCACATGTTTTTTATATACGAAACCTGGGGTGGTACACATTTTTCTGGCCCAAAGGTAGCTCCAGGTATTGTTAAACTACCGGAAGACTACTCTACAACCAGAGGTAAACTACAGGGACACTGCGGAGAGACGAAGGAAAGTTAAGTGCAAGTACAACACCGGAGAACATGGAAAAACGATCAAGCTTCCAGCACTTTCAGATTGAAACCGCACTGCTTGCCGCTGGTGATCATGGTGGCATTTAAGCTTTTTCTCAGTTTGCTCGCGCTCGCTGTGGGCCACACTGAAAACGCCCATGATGGTAGCCGGGGCTTTGCCAGGCCGCTTCTCTCGGGGAATTCAGAAGCATGCTTGTTAACCTCTACATAGAAAGAAAGAAACACATTGGAGGCGTTCGTTGCAGCGCCTCAAGCTAGCATCACGACTTCTCAGCGGCGAGTTTACTCACGTGCCCAGGCCTCGAGCAATAGTGAGGACACGCCCGAAACTGGGAAAGAACTGCAGATGTGTTCAGCTCGTAATTTACCCTCCCAGCCCCAATCACACCGCAACATCCTGGCCAACGACTCAATGCTTAGTCTTGCGCACGTAAACTGCGACTGGGACTTGAGTGCTCGTGCCCAACAAGTATGCCATGTGCACTTGTAAGGATAGCTGAGCCTGCTGACGATGCCTTCAGTTCCAACGTGCATATTGAGGACGTTTGCAAATACAATAGTTTGTTTACTTAAAAGATTGCGTTTCTCTCAGGACCCTTTCGATCCTGACAGAAACCTTGGAAGCGCTTTGAGCGCGGAGGCAGATGCAGACTTTGCTGGGGTCAATCAGAGGATGTGCTGGGCTTGAAAGGGTTTCAATAATGAAGTGTTAAATGCCTGCTTCAGGGAATCCAACGATTGCGAGAAGAACTCGCGCGAGCAGATCAGATTCTTTCCGCAGGGGAAAAGGTGGGGCGGCAAGCCGCGTGCAAGATGCCGGTTTTGACGTGTTCTGTCAAGGCTCCTTTGGCAGAAGTCCTTGAGCCCTGGGCCAAACCCTCAAATGGCAGTTGTGATTGTTTGAGCGCCACATGACATCCTTTGGCATTGCGCCGTGCAAGTAGCCGAGGCGCCGCCAGAGAAGCACTCGCTGATCTCTGCGCCTGAGGACGGCGACCGAGAATTTGTGGTGCGGGATTGCAGCTGAAAGATTGGTTCATGTTGGTTTCATATTTGTTTCAGAGCACGACCGTTGGACCCTGAAGGCGGAAATAGCATGGCCTCACTAATTCAATTACGTATGGCACGCTGCCATTTAGGAAATATATATATAATACAATACTATATTGAATATTATTATTATTATTATATATATAATATAAATTAACTTATAATGAATAAATGTTTAATTTTGAATAGTTGAAAATATATATAATAGTTGTTTAATATTATATATAAATTATGATAATAGGTTATATATATATTTATTATTTATTATATTTAATTATTTTTAATAATGTATTTAATATAGAATAATTATTAATATTATGTTTTTAATATTATTTTAATATATATATTAAAATATATTTTTTATAAGCCTGTATGGTTTCGAGGTAAGTCGTTGTTGGTTGAATTATAGTATTTATGGCGAGCATTTTTTTTTTTCCATGATATAAATTTTCGTTTTTTTGTATGGCTCGGAAGGTTTTGAAATTTCGAAGGAATTTTTGGAAAATTTTGGAATTTATTTGGATATTTATTTGTTTTGTATTTTTGTTTGTTTTTGTGTATGTTAATTTGTTTTTTTTTGTTTGTGTTCTTTGTTTTTATTTGTTTATTTATTTGTTGTTTGTTTTTATTTCTTTGTGTGTTTTTGTATTTTCGTGTATTTTGTTTGTTTGTGTTTGTTTTTGCGGGTCGGTGTATAAAAATGATTTATTTCCGTGTGTTGTATTTTTCTTTTAATCTCCGTTTGTTTCTTTTCGTTTTATTTTTCTTTTTATTTTTGATTGTTTTTACTATTATTTTTGCTTGTTTGTTTGGTTATTTTTTTCTTTTTTTTATATATTTTTTTTTTCTTTTTCTTTCTCTTTTTCTCTTTATTTTTTTTTTTCCCTCTTTTTCTCTTTCTTTGGTGTCGCTTTATCGCCCACAGGATGAGGGATAGTTTGCCTAGGTTTTGCTGAGGTATTGGTTGGTCTTTCCCGGGGCCGGAGGCTCCTTTATAGAGCCATTGCCTCTACCTCGGTATTTTCGTTAGCAACAATTCCTCTTGCCATAGATCTTTCTCTTTTTCTCTTTCTCTTTCTTTTTTTCTTCTGTTTTTCTTCTTTTTTTTGTCCTTTTTGGTTTTTTGTTGGTATTTGTTATTGATAAATTAACGGCGTGTTTTAATATTAATATTTATATATATATATTATTATATTTTTGAATAGATTGATTGATTATATAAATAAATGATCTATATTTATTTGTGGTCTCGAGATCGTATTTTTCGTGTGTTGGTAAGTCGTTGTAGCGGTGTTCCGGCCGAATCGTAGTGTTTATAGTTCTATATATCTCGGTCTTTTTTTCCGCGGCAAAAGCTCCCGCCTTTTCGCGCGGTCCGGAAGACCCCCAAAATTTCGGGGGTTTTAATAATTTTGCTTAGATTTCCCGTGACGTAACCCCGGAGCTTGAAAGGGGGAGATGCGGCACGCGGCAACGCGGAAGTGTGCTATTTTTGTGAATCCGTAGTAGTAAGCGTTGACAAATAGAAAGATAAAGATAGAGATAGAGATAGATAGACATTATTAAATAGAGAAACACGGATATGCGGAAATAGGTAAAGATACACAAAAAACACAAAGAAATTGCTATATAGAGATAAACAGAAACAATGCGAGAGATAGAGAGACACAGATAAACAGATAGAGATAGAGAGGCACAAACACCAAAAAGAAACAGATTGGGATACACAGGAAATAGACAGATAGAGACAGAGATTACGAAACAGATAGATACAGACACACGGAAACAGATTAGGAGACACAGAGAGAAACAAAGATGCGGAGACACCTAGCACGAAATGTTCGATAAATTTCGACTCGGATAAATCCAAAAATTTGGGTCGGTATTTTTTTCGGAAAGCCGCCAAATTCTGGAGAAATTTGCGGGGGTAACATCCGGAAACCTGAGAGCTGCGTCGCCGGAAGCGACCCAAAATTCAGGAAAATGTGGTCTTTCTCTCTCTTTCTCTCTCTTTCTTTTTCTCTCTCCCTAGTGCCGCTTTATCGCCCATAGGAGGGGCAGCTTGCTTACTTAGGTCCTATTGGGGCATCGACTAATTTTTCCCGGGGCCGGAGGTACTCTTGGGGAGTTGTTGCCTCCACCTCCGCCGGCAACAACTCCTCCTACCATGGGTATCTCTCTCTCTCTCTCTTTCTCTCTCTCTCTCTCTCTCTCTCTTTCTCTCTCTCTATCTCTTTCTTTCTTTTTTTTGTTCATTCTCTCTTTCTCTATCTTTTTATTTCTCTTTCTCTCTCTTTTTCTGTCTTTTTCTCTCTTTCTCTCTTTTTTTCTCTTTTTCTTTTTTTCTTTATCTCTCTCTTTCTTTCTCTATCTCTTGCTTTCTCTCTTTCTCCTTTTCTTGTTCTTCTTTCTTTTTTTCCTCTTTTTTCTTTCTCTTCTTATGCTTTCTATTTTTATTTTGCTTGCTATATGTTCTCTTTATTTATTTTATTATTTATTTTTTCTCTTTGTTTTTTTTCTCCGTGGTTTTTCTGTCTTTCTATTTTTTTGTTGTTTTTCTCTTTTTTTATTTCTATTTTTCTCTCTCTTTTTCTCTCTCTTTTTCTCTTTCTTTTTCTCTCTCTTTTTCTCTCTCTTTTTCTCTTGTTTTTTCTTTTGTTTTTTCTTTTGTTTTGTTTTTTATTTTTTCTCTTGTTTTTTCTCTTTTTTTCTTTTTTCTTTAATTTTGTTGTTAATATTATCGTTAATTACATTAATGGAGTTTCTTTAATAATATATTACTATGATTATATATATATATATAATATATTTATATTTCGAAAAATTATATTATAATAATTGAATATTTAGAACATTATTATTATTATATAATTTCCGAATCGTTATAATAATTTTATACGTTTGTTTTATTTATTATATATATTTTATAAAATGAAACCGTGAAATTTGTTCGTCGCACTTGCGCGCGTGTTCCCGGACCGCTTTTCCGAAAAATCCCGGATATTTCGGAAAATTGGTTCGGGCTGCCCCTGGAAGATGCAACCGCTTAATATTTCCTATGGATCGCTTACCTAAATCTGTCCGGGTTACCCCGGCCATAATCCGGAAGATGTAGTGGCTTCATTTTTTGCAGGGACCAATTTCCGAAAATATTCCAGAGATTTCCCGAAATAATCCAAATATTTCGGGAAATCTTATTATCGAAATATCCGGAATCTTTCGGAAAAATGGTTTGGAGTGCAATTGTCGAAATATCCGGGATATTTCGGAAAAATGGTCCCGGCTTTGAACGAAACCGTTGTGTCTTCCAGATAAAGAGTCGGGGCAACACGTTTATTATCTCATATATATCAAAAAATGTATACTCGTCGCATACGAAAAGCATGCTGCCGTCGCGATAAGGTCATGCTAAAGAGTTAATAAAAGGGGGTCGCCTGAGCAAGGTGAGAACGGATCTGAGCAAGGTGAGAACGGATCCGCGGGCTGTTAGCCTCAAAAGATTCATCCACACATACAGTTCTTGCAAGCGCAAGCAAAAACGCGATCGACTAGAAAATATCCTGGGCGCAAACAAAGCCGAAGAAAACATTGGGAAAAATACAACTAATCGCAACAATCGGGCGCGACTCACAGCTTCTCGCATCGCCAAACTCTCGCGCCAAGATTTCAGCCAAAATTGCTACGGACAGGCAGATATATGGTGCCTGAGTTGCAAAAAATGTCTTGCCGGCGCGGGCTCTATAAGATTTAATCTATTCTTGATACACCCACCACGGCCTGGACCTTGGCCCTTAAGAGCTCGGCCCTTTTTGGGCACCCGCCTCAACTTACCCCTAATTGCTGGTTTGGATTGGTGGTTTGGGGATTGAATCCCTGGATCATATTGAAATTAAATGGAAATAACCTCCAAAACACCGATCTAAATTACGAATCCAATTCGGACCGGTAATAACCCGGGGTGCCCAGTTTAAAGAGGGCCGCCGAATCTATAACCACCTCCTGGCCATGGGCCAGAATGTAACGCCGAGATAAGTGCATGATAAACCGTTTCCCACTGGTTCGCTCCACTAGGCAACTCAACTGGGGCATGCGCAGCCGAGAGCTCGTACGCGCGTTCTTCGACATTAGAATCCGGCGCGTTGCGCGCCGGAGGTGTGTCTCTTTTGTCTCTGTCTCTCTGTCGATGTCTGTCTCTGTCTCTCTTTGTCTGTTCGTCTCTCTATCTCCGGTATCTGTTTCTTTGTTTGTCTGTCTGTTTGTTTGTGTCTGTCTGTTTGTTTGTGTCTGTCTGTGTTTGTCTGTCTGTGTCTGTTTGTGTGTGTCTGTCTGTCTGTCTGTCTGTGTCTGTTTGTGTCTGTATTTGTGTTTGTGTTTGCGTGTTTGTGTGTTTGTGTTTGTAAATTTGTGCTTGTATTTGTGTTTGTTTTTATGTTTGTTTTGTTTTTGCTTTGTGGTTATTTTTTTGTATTTTACTTATTTATTTAATTGAAATGGATCGGCTATTTTTACTACTTCGATATCACGAAAGCTAGCTTTAGCTAGCTGAAGTTTCTCCTTGCGTAAGCAAGGTAAAGGGTTTAAATGCCGAAAGATTGATTTGTTTTTTTGAGTCGAAATCCCCCTCTTTCTTGGTCTTAGGCTCGATTCTTCCTTGGTCTATCCCCCCCCCCTTGGTAATGGCTCAGTGGTTAGTAGTCTCGGTTTGCTCGTTTTGGTTTTGCTGCGAATTTTTATATGTTCCACCGATTTAACTTGTTTATTTGAGACCTTAGTCTTCTCGGTAAACTACTTCGCAAGAATCTTTGCACACGTAATCTGCAGAACCCAGAGGTGCTTTAAGATAGTTTCTGATGCCTCTAGTCGTTTTCATTTTTTCAAGGTTTTCCACGCCATTATGTGTGTTTACGTGTCGTATCCTACGAATCTTGCCGGGCCTCTCGTTATATACAAGCTACTTATAAATCCATTCTATTACCGACCCATCTCATACAACAACTGCTAGTTTTCGTTCACCTGCTCCTCAAGTTAACCTAAATCTTGTTATTTCGATATCCTTTTATAAGATTTTTTAAAATTAAACTAACAAAATAATAATTTTAATTCTCTTAATATTATAAAATAAACGAATCCTAGATTTATAACAACTAATCTAAATATATAATCTTTTAGGTTAATCGAAACCGTATTAGCATAACACATGATTTGTTATAAAGTGAATATATTTATGAAGGATATTCTTTTTAGGAAATTATAAAAATAATTTAAATATATATTTTGTTATTATTTTGGTTAAAATATTATGTTCGAGAGTTTGGTGATATAATTATATATAAAAATAAAGTATTCAAATCAATAATCCATAATTCCATTCTCTCCTTATTAAAATTATCGCCTTTCATTAACTATATGTTTATATATTAGTATCTAAACACTTAAAATATATTATAATTTTGTGTATCGCAATATGTCTTTGAATCTCCAAAATTAAATTTCCAATTTAATATACTATATAAAATCTAATATTAAAAACCACTATACCAATAATTAATTCCTAATTCAAAATTATAAGTTTAATTTAATTAATAAATAAATAAACTAATATATATTTTAATTCATTTTTTCTTTCGAATTCTCAATATAAAAAAAAAATCAAAAAATATTCGACCTTCAATATTCATTTAAAAATCATATTTATTTATTTATATTTATATATTTTAAAATTTAATTATTTACATTTTAAATTATAATATATATTTAGAATTAAAATTATATTATTATTCTATAAAAACCAATAATATTAATATTAATATATATTATAAACAAAAATATTTAAATCAAACCAACCAAACCAACAAATTCAAGTTGTTTATATTGTATGTTTTATTTTATAAAGTTATTATTCATAACATTATTTCAAATTTTCATTCGAATTTAAATAGATGGTAATCTTTGTCTTAGCCAGGTTTTGGCCTGCATTTCTGTGATTGTAGCATGGTTTTGTGACATGTGCGCACCCGTGCCTCGTCTATCATGTCTGCAGACAAGGCATGCCCTACACCACGGAAAGCCAAAGATCGAACACCTTGGCTCTGCAAGGCTCAAGGCATCCTTCTACCTGCTGAGGTGGTCACTGCACCCAAGCTGGCGAAGTTCATCCGCACACGTGGTGGCAAAGCCGATTGGGCAAAGACTGTCCTCCATGGGCTTGGCTACACTGGGCTTGTCAAGAAAGATGCACAGTCCTCTCGACCATGGCCTCGGCTGCTGAGACAGTCAGACTTGGCAACCAATTCGTTCGAGTTCGGACACTGTAGCACTTGAAGCCCATCTGCGCCAGTTGCCCATTCCTGCGAATTGTTGGCGTGAGCATGTTTGCAGAACTAAGCATGAGACATTGAATGCTCTGGCAAGTGCTCGCATCCATGCTCTGTCCGAGCCAGGTCCAGTCAGTGTTTTTGGCGAGGCCCAGCCGCCTGTGAAGCTGAGACCTCTCAGCAATTGTATACGCGTGTTTCAGTGTTAGTCAAAGGTCTTTGTCTCGCCTTCTGTGCCGAAAAGCAGCAACCCCGCAAGGGAGCGAGGCACCTCAAGCCCGAAGGCTCCATCAGCGAAAATCGGATGGATCTTGATGGATGTTTTCTGTACTTCCTGATCATGTTGACTCAAGTGGTCTGACTATGCGTGGGTCCTGTTGACCCCGGATTAATAACCCCCCTGGTTGATTACTAGGGGGTGTCCGCTTTAAAGGGGGTGTCCCCTTTTAGTGGGGATTCATCACTTCTGACGGAGGGGAACACCACCCTATTAATAGAGTAAAGCGTTTTCAGTTGTTTTTAGTTTTTTTTCATATCAAGCCGCTGCAACGAGCAATCTAGACACGTGTCAAGGCTTCACCTCGAACAACTTCTACAAACCATGATATCCCTTGGAAATCTGTTCCTTGATCAAGTGACTTCATCAAACGCATTGTCAGAATACTAACACAGTCGCATCCATGCAAACAATGGAAGGATATGGGCAAAATGGTTGCAAACATTTCATTGGAATGCATTTGTTGCTCAATCATTCACAATACCATGCAACTGCAGAAGCACAGCTGACATCCTAGCACAAATGACAGCAGGCAGGCTCTGGAGCTCTACTTATACTCTCCATTGATGCCAAGATTAGAGAAACACTACAACATAATCATGTTCTGAATCTACCAGCTCTAACAGGTGAAGGGTTAAGGGTGTTGCTCCTGCCACGGATTTGCAACATGAGAACAAAACATTCAGCACAACCCAGAACAAGATCCTCTACGCATCGGTCCTCAAAGATGACATGCCAACCAAATAACATTAGACACACGTGGCTGCTGTTGCTGACTGCAGTACCTGTCAACGCCTTCAACGCCGAAACTAATTCAACACACTTGGATTCAGCTACATTTCAAATTGGCAGACACTTGGGACCACTTACATTTCATGATTGGCTTCGGCTTCAACTACATGAACTTGTCTCACGTCCAAATTAGCTTCCGCGTGAAAGAATACACTTACCACACGCTACCAAGCAGCTACCAGAGTCTTGGGGAGGAACATGTCCATATGCCATGGGCTGCTGTGGGGGCTGGATATTCTGAATTTATTGCAGATCGCTAGTCACATTGCCAGCAGAACAGGAAATGCAGACCACCTGCAAGTGGGCAACGTTAACTTCTACATCATCAGGGATAGATTCTCTGGTGGCATGCAAAAGCTGGTATGGTCGGGGGTCAGAGAATACCTTATTCTACTTGCGCCCTCCATAGGTCATCAAAACAACGTAGAAATGTTCTGCGCGACATGAAAACACTGTTGATGGCGAAAACTGATTTCACAAATGCGAGGCATCCATTCCTGGTACTAGATAAACTCTCTATGCTAACCAATGGCAACCCAGCAGCCCGATGAAATTACATGCACAAGGCAGGACATGAGAACACTACACGCACGTCGGCTCACAGCCAACATGCATAGAATATGTTGCTTTTAGAACTGTGGCCCCAGTGCAACCAAGCCCCTTGTTGCCACACATGCTCCTTCATTGAAGGTCAAGCAAGGCAGCAATCAATGGCGTTGCTAGTTGCAGATATTCTTTTAGCTATCGCTGCTTTCAGCAACCGTTCCAATGCTGCATCATCAATACCACGAGACACAGTTCAGCTTATAAATGCAGCGACCCAGTACATAAATTCAAACCTAAGCAAGTGAATCACACGCAACTTCAAGGGAGCAGTGTAAGCAAACAAGACATCCTTGAACTTTGCAAATAGCGGCCAGGCACTAGTAGGAGGCACCCCAAAACTAAAGGCGATCCAAATCCTGACCTATCTACTGGGTCCCAGTGATCCTGGGCCAAGCCGAGTCTGGGGAGCCTGAGGAGGGGGGGGAGCCGAAAAACAACAACACGACATTTTAAAGAATCAGCATGTGTTTTGGTGTTCACCCCCCCCCAACCTCCAGAACCGTTCGAAACTGTGCCCACAATTGAAACTCATGGCTTGCAACTCCCAAGATAAGCCTTGCTTATCTAATACAGACAAACAAGAATAAAGGGAGCTAACACATGGAGAACAAACAACAATTCTGACAGATTTGCGACACATGTCTCAAAGTACCGTGTTTTGAAAAACACTGTAAAATAGGGTCCCTTATAGCGTCCCTTTCTGTGAAGTCCGGAGTCAACATTTGGCAGGCGAGTCCCAATCCCGCCTGTAGTGCCGTCCATGCGGCCACAGTCCCTCCCATGGAGAAGCCGGCGAGCACCACGCGCTCTGGAGGGATGCCCCACTCCTGGCCTCGAATGCTCCGGCCCAACGCCCGGCCCCACTTCCACTTTGCACACTTTGCCCACTGTGCCCAAGGGTTGATCAATATTCCTGTTATCCTGTTATCATCCTGTTTTCATCCTGTCCTGGCCCATCCCCAAACGACCATAGCTTTCCGCCTTGGGAACTCAGCAAGGCCAGCATCTCTGAGCGGCAGACCTCACGCAAACATGAGGCTTGTCATGCGCAACCTGTACCTGTCATGTTCTTTGCTGAGTCCTCCAAAGACTCTGCTTTGCGAACAGACTTTGTGTGGTCGAACCACGCCTGAGCTGAATTCATAAGAATTCAGAAAAAGTTTGCTCACATGCCACGTGTGTATCTTGGAAGCGCGTGGCTTGCACATTGCGAGAGCACGTTTCTTCTTGTCGCGGTGGATAGTCGCACATGGGCCAGCATTTCTTACAAGGCTGGACCCAGAAACACTACAGGCAGTCAATGGCAGCAACCGGCTTCTCAGTTGAATTAATGATTTCAATCCGTCACTTGCCTTTCCAACTCATTCGGCTTTGGAGCCCTTCGCACTCCTAGTCTTCGAAGCGTTTCCTCATACTCTTGCTGCTTGGCAGTGTTTCCTTGCGATGCTGAGGCATCATCCTCATCATCGTGCATCACGTGGAATTCGCACACGTTCTGAGCTTGGCTGGCCTCCTCTACAGCTTTTGGAGAACGTACTTGCACTGAAATGTCAGGTAGGAACTCATTTCCGCATTGTCTGCCGCTAGGAGAGCATGACCTCTCCAGTGATGACAGTGAATCGCATCGCCGCTTGCGCCCATCATCGTCACATGATGCAGAGTAGGACCTGCTGCCTTCCGATGATGACACGGAGTATTCTTCCTTGGTGCTTCGCTGATCCTTTGCTAAAAGATATTGTTAGTGGGATATGATATGTCATAAATCCCTCATCCTCTAGAATCTCGGAAAGAGTCAGAAAGAGTGTGACAAAGTCTGAAAGAGTCAGAAAAGTCTGAAAGAGTCTGAAAGAGTCTGCAACCGCCTCAAAGAGCCTGGAAGCGCCTAAAAGAGCCTGAAAGAATCTGAAAGAGCCTGAAGAAAGAGATTGAAAAAAGAGTATGAAGAAAGAGCCTGAAGAAAGAGCCTGAAAGAATCTGAAGGGCCTGAAAAAGCGTGAAGAAAGAGCCTGAAGAAAGAGCCTAAAGAAAGAGTCTAAAGAAGGAGCCTGAAGAAAGAGTCTGACGAAAGAGCCTGAAGAAAGAGCCCTGAAGAAAGAACCTGAAAAAGCCTGAAAGAGCGTGAAGAAAGAGTCTGAAGAAAGAGTCTGAAGAAAGAGTCTGAAGAAAGAGTCTGAAGAAAGGGTCTGAAGAAAGAGTTTTCTTCAGAGTCTGAAGAAAGAGTCTGAAGAAGGAGTCTAAAGAAAGAGTCTGAAGCAGTCTGAAGAAAGAGTCTGAAGAAAGAGTCTGAAGAAAGACTCTGAAGAAAAAGTCTGCAGAAAGAGTCTCAAAAAAGGGTCTGACGAAAGACTCTGAAGAAAGATTCTGAAGAAAGAGTTTGAGTGAGGAAAGAGTCTGAAAAAAAAGTATGAAGAACGAGTCTGGAGAAAGAGTCTGAAGAAAGAGTCTGAAGAAAGAGTCCGAAGAAAGACTCTCAAACAAAAATCTGAAGAAAGAGTCTGAAGAACGAGTCTGAAGAAAAAGAGTCTGAAAAGAAAGAGTCTGAAGAAAGAGTCTGAAGAAAAAGAGTCTGAAGAAAAAGAGTCTGAAGAAAGAGAGTCTGAAGAAAAAGAGTCTGAAGAAAGAGGCTGAAGAAAGAGTCTGAAGAGAAAGAGTCTGAAGAGAAAGAGTCTGAAGAGAAAGAGTCTGAAGAGAAAGAGTCTGAAGAGAAAGAGAGTGAAGAGAAAGAGCCTGAAGAAAAAGAGTCTGAAAAGAAAGAGTCTGAAGAAAGTCTGAAGAAAAAGAGTCTGAAGAAAAAGAGTCTGAAAAAAAAGAGTCTGAAGAAAAAGAGTCTGAAGAAAATGAGTCTGAAGAAAGAGTCTGAAGAAGGAGTCTGAAGAAAGAGTCTGAAGAAAGAGTCTGAAGAAAGAGTCTGAAGAAAGAGTCTGAAGAAAGAGTCCGAAGAAAGACTCTCAAACAAAAAACTGAAGAGAAAGAGTCTGAAGAACGAGTCTGAGGAAAGAGTCTGAAGAAAAAGAGTCTGAAGAAAAAGAGTCTGAACAGAAAGAGTCTGAAAGAATCTTGAAGAAAGAGCCTGAAGAAAGAGTTTGAAGAAAGAGTCTGAAGAAAGAGCCTGAAGAAAGAGCCTGAAAGAATCTGAAAAAGCCCGAAAGAGCATGCAGCCTGAAGAAAAAGTCTGAAGAAAAAGAGTCTGAAGAAAAAGAGTCTGAAGAAAGAGAGTCTGAAGAAAAAGAGTCTGAAGAAAAAGAGTCTGAAGAAAGAGAGTCTGAAGAAAAAGAGTCTGAAGAAAGAGTCTGAGTCTGAAGAGAAAGAGTCTGAAGAGAAAGAGTCTGAAGAGAAAGTGTCTGAAGAGAAAGAGAGTGAAGAGAAAGAGCCTGAAGAAAGAGTTTGAAGAAAAATCAATTAAACAAGTCTTAAAAGAAAGAGTCTGGAAAGAAAGAGTCTCAAACAGAGTCTATTGAAGGAGCCCCAAGAAAGAGCTTGAAGAAAAAGAGTCTGAAGAGAGAGTCTGAAGAAAAAGAGTCTGAAGAAAAAGAGTCTGAAGAGAAAGAGTCTGAAGAGAAAGAGTCTGAAGAGAAAGAGAGTGAAGAGAAAGAGTCTGAAGAAAAAGAGTCTGAAAAGAAAGAGTCTGAAGAAAAAGAGTCTGAAAAGAAAGAGTCTGAAGAAAGAGTCTGAAAAAAAAGAGTCTGAAGAAAAAGAGTCTGAAGAAAAAGAGTCTGAAGAAAAAGAGTCTGAAGAAAAAGAGTCTGAAGAAAGAGTCTGAAGAGAAAGTTTGAAGAGAAAGAGTGAAGAGAAAGAGAGTGAAGAAAAAGAGTCTGAAGAAAAAGAGTCTGAAGAAAAAGAGTGTGAAGAAAACAAGTCTGAAGAAAAAGCCCGAAGAAAGAGCCTGAAAGAATCTGAAAAAGCCCGAAAGAGCATGCAGCCTGAAGAAAAAGTCTGAAGAAAAAGAGTCTGAAGAAAAAGAGTCTGAAGAAAAAGAGTCTGAAGAAAAAGAGTCTGAAGAAAAAGAGTCTGAAGAAAAAGAGTCTGAAAAAAAAGAGTCTGAAGAAAATGAGTCTGAAGAAAATGAGTCTGAAGAAGGAGTCTGAAGAAAGAGTCTGAAGAAAGAGTCTGAAGAAAGAGTCTGAAGAAAGAGCCTGAAGAAAAAGATTGAAGACAGAGCCGGAAGAAAGAACCTGAAAGAATCTGAAAAAGCCTGAAAGAGCGCGAAGAAAGAGTCTGAAGAAAGAGTCTGAAGAAAAAGTCTGAAGAAAGAGTCTGAGGAAAGCGTCTGAAGAAAGAGTCTGAGGAAGAAGGAGCCTGAAGAGAGAGTCTGAAGAACGAGCCTCAAGAAAGAGCCTAAAGAAAGAGTCTAAAGAAAGAGTCTGAAGAAAGAGTCTGAAGAAAGAGTCTGAAGAAAGAGCCTCAAAGAATCTGAAACAGCCTGAAAGAGCGCAAAGAAAGAGTTTGAAGAAGAGCCTGAAGAACGAGTCTGAAGAAAGAGTCTGAAGAAAGAGTCTGAAGAAAGAGTCTAAAGAAAGAGTCTAAAGAAGGAGTCTGAAGAAAGAGTCTGACGAAAGACTCTGAAGAAAGAGCTTGAGGAAAGAGTCTGAAGAAAAAGTCTGAAGAACGAGTCTGGAGAAAGAGTCTGAAGAAAGAGTCTGATGAAAGAGTCCGAGGAAAGACTCTCAAAAAATGACTGAAGAAAGAGTCTGAAGAAAGAGCTTGAAGAAAAAATCAATTAAAAAAGTCAAAAAAGAAAGAGTCTGGATAGAAAGAGTCTCAAAAAGAGTCTAAAGAAGGAGCCCCAAAAAGGAGTTTGAAGAAAGAGTCTGAAGAAAGAGTCTGAAGAAAGAGTTTGAAGAAAAAGAGTCTGAAGAAAGAGAGTGAAGAGAAAGAGAGTGAAGAAAAAAAGTCTGAAGAAAAAGAGTCTGAAGAAAAAGAGTCTGAAGAAAAAGAGTCTGAAGAAAAGGAGTCGAAGAAAACGAGTCTGAAGAAAAAGAGTCTGAAGAAAAAGAGTCTGAAGAAAAAGAGTCTGACGAAAAAGAGTCTGAAGAAAAAGAGTCTGAAGAGACAGAGTCTGAAGAGAAAGAGTCTGAAGAGAAAGAGTCTGAAGAAAAAGAGTCTGAAGAAACAGAGTCTGAAGAAAAAGAGTCTGAAGAGAAAGAGTCTGAAGAGAAAGAGAGTGAAGAAAAAAGGTCTGAAGAAAAAGAGTCTGAAGAAAAAGAGTCTGAAGAAAAAGAGTCTGAAGAAAAAGAGTCTGAAGAAAAAGAGTCTGAATAAAAAGAGTCTGAAGAAAAAGAGTCTGAAGAGAAAGAGTCTGAAGAAAAAGAGTCTGAAGAAAAAGAGTCTGAAGAAAAAGAGTCTGAAGAGAAACAGTCTGAAGAGAAAGAGAGTGAAGAGAAAAGGTCTGAAGAAAAAGAGTCTGAAGAAACAGAGTCTGAAGAAAAAGAGTCTGAAAAGAAAGAGTCTGAAGAAAAAGAGTCTGAAAAGGAAGAGTCTGAAGAAAGAGTCTGAAAAAAAAGAGTCTGAAGAAAGAGTCTGAAAAAAGATTCTAAGAAAGAGTCTGAAGAAAGAGTCTGAAGAAAGAGTCTGAAGAAAGAGTCTGAAGAAAGAGTCTGAAGAAAGAGTTTGAAGAAAAATCAATTAAACAAGTCTTAAAAGAAAGAGTCTGGAAAGAAAGAGTCTCAAACAGAGTCTATTGAAGGAGCCCCAAGAAAGAGTTTGAAGAAAAAGAGTCTGACGAAAAAGAGTCTGAAGAAAAAGAGTCTGAAGAGACAGAGTCTGAAGAGAAAGAGTCTGAAGAGAAAGAGTCTGAAGAAAAAGAGTCTGAAGAAAAAGAGTCTGAAGAAAAAGAGTCTGAAGAAAAAGAGTCTGAAGAGAAAGAGAGTGAAGAGAAAAGGTCTGAAGAAAAAGAGTCTGAAGAAACAGAGTCTGAAGAAAAAGAGTCTGAAGAAAAAGAGTCTGAAGAAAAAGAGTCTGAAGAGACAGAGTCTGAAGAAAAAGAGTCTGAAGAGAAAGAGTCTGAAGAGAAAGAGTCTGAAGAGAAAGAGTCTGAAGAGAAAGTCTGAAGAGAAAGAGAGTGAAGAGAAAGAGTCTGAAGAAAAAGAGTCTGAAGAAAAGGAGTCTGAAAAGAAAGAGTCTGAAGAGAAAGAGAGTGAAGAGAAAAGGTCTGAAGAAAAAGAGTGTGAAGAAAAAGAGTGTGAAGAAAACAAGTCTGAAGAAAAAGCCCGAAGAAAGAGCCTGAAAGAATCTGAAAAAGCCCGAAAGAGCATGCAGCCTGAAGAAAAAGTCTGAAGAAAAAGAGTCTGAAGAAAAAGAGTCTGAAGAAAGAGAGTCTGAAGAAAAAGAGTCTAAAGAGAAAGAGAGTGAAGAGAAAGAGTCTGAAGAAAAAGAGTCTGAAAAGAATGAGTCTGAAGAAAAAGAGTCTGAAAAGAAAGAGTCTGAAGAAAGAGTCTGAAAAAAAAAGAGTCTGAAGAAAAAGAGTCTGAAGAAAAAGAGTCTGAAGAAAAAGAGTCTGAAGAAGGAGTCTGAAGAAAGAGTGTGAAGAAAGAGTCTGAAGAAAGAGTCTGAAGAAAGGAGTCTGAAGAAAGGAGTCTGAAAGAGTCCGAAAGTAAGAGGGTATGGCTAGACGCTGCCAAGCTTCATACTCCTCTTCCGCTGCTGCCGATGAGCGGCCAGGCTCGTTGTGCGGGGAGGGGGAGCGGGAAGCTCGGGGCGCAGAGCTTGGTTTGTCAGCCGAGCCGCTTGCGTGTGGCCCATGTCTGTGCCTGTGGGGTTCGGGCTTTGAGCTTGGCCTTGTCCCACTTGGGCCACTGGCTGAGCTCGGGTTCGGGTCTGCGCTTGAGCTTGCGCCTGGCCCTGGGTCACCTGCATTCGCTGCACCACCAGTATTCGCTGGTGGTGCGTGGCTTGCAGGAGGCCTGGTTGCTTGCTCTGCTTTGACCTCTTGGCCTTTCTCCTGAGCTTGGCTACTCGGAGACTGCGTAGCTGGGGCGGCTGGGGCGGCTGGGGCAGCTGGGGCGGCTGGGGCGGGGGCGGCTGGGGCGGCTGGGGCAGCTGGGGCGGCTGGGGCTTCTGGGGTAGGGACCGAACTGGGTGGTGCTGTTTGAGCATCTGGGCGGTCCTGTGACTTGGATTGCCACCAGAACAACTCCCGTGGTGTGGCATTCACCGACTGCGGTTGCTCACCGGGCCTGCTGGCCGGGGGCTTTTCAGGCGTGAGCTTTGGCGTCCGGGGTGGCATCTGAGGTGGCAGGCCCGGGGCAAGCTGGTCCCTCGCTTCTCGGCCGTTGGGTCCTGGCGAGCGGGACTTCGGCCGACTCACAGCTCCAGGGACCTGGGACCTCCTGGACGGTGATGGGGCGGCTGGGGCGGCTGGGGCAGCTGGGGCGGCTTGGGCGGCTGGGGCAGCTGGGGCGGCTGGGGCAGCTGGGGCGGCTGGGGCTTCTGGGGTAGGGACCGAACTGGGCGGCGCTGTTTCTGGGGCAGGAGCATCTGGGCGGTCCTGTGACTGGGATTGCCACCAGAACACCTCCCGTGGTGTGGCATTCACCGACTGCGGTTGCTCACTGGGCCTGCTGGCCAGGGGCTTTTCAGGCGTGAGGTTTGGCTTGTGATCTGGCCGCTTTGGCGTCCGGGGTGGCATCTGAGGTGGCAGGCCCGGGGCAAGCTTGTCCCTCGCTTCTCGGCCGTTGGGTCCTGGCGAGCGGGACTTCGGCCGACTCACAGCTCCAGGGACCTGGGACCTCCTGGACGGTGATGGGGCGGCTGGGGCGGCTTGGGCGGCTGGGGCAGCTGGGGCGGCTGGGGCAGCTGGGGCGGCTGGGGCTTCTGGGGTAGGGACCGAACTGGGCGGCGCTGTTTCTGGGGCAGGAGCATCTGGGCGGTCCTGTGACTGGGATTGCCACCAGAACACCTCCCGTGGTGTGGCATTCACCGACTGCTGTTGCTCACTGGGCCTGCTGGCCGGGGGCTTTTCAGGCGTGAGGTTTGGCTTGTGATCTGGCCGCTTTGGCGTCCGGGGTGGCATCTGAGGTGGCAGGCCCGGGGCAAGCTTGTCCCTCGCTTTTCGGCCGTTGGGTCCTGGCGAGCGGGACTTCGGCCGACTCACAGCTCCAGGGACCTGGGACCTCCTGGACGGTGATGGGGATCTCGTAGGCACGCAAGATGACAAAGGAGACGCGTCCGATGGGTAGTGGATGCGCGTGAAGTGCATGATGGGCCATGAGACTTTCTGAAGCCTGCTCTGCGCAAACTTTGCGGTTTGGGGCTTCTTCACGACATACCGATCGGCTCCATTTTCTTCCACCTTTTGGCCTCCCTTGGCCAAAGCTGGTGCGGCATGCGCTGCAGTTGCTGTTGCTGCTGCAGGCTTCGGTGCTGCAGGTGGCGGACCGAGAGGGGGCCCCTGAGGCGAACCAGGTGGCGGGCCAACAGGTGGACCAAGGGCAGGCTTGGGCGTTGGCTGTGATTGGGGGCCACCTGTGCTTAAGATCCAGCGCTTTCGCACTTTACGTGATGCCGCATACAGCACACAGGCAGCACCCGCGCTCTTGAGCAAAATGGGGAACCATAGCCAGTCTCCTTTGGCATCCTCGCAAACTCCCCGGATCTTGGGTGGGGCATCCACGAGAGCTGTGACAGCCTTGGGCCTGAGGCTCTTCTTGTGGTGCAAAATCCTGTGAAGCGCGATACCTGCCGAGAACGACGCAACACCTGCCAACAGTCCTGGATTCTGGGCTGTGTCTCCACATTTCTTCGCCAATTGGAGAGCGGATGCTCTGATTGATGCTCCTCGTGGAATCGCTAGGTTCGAAAGGTCCACATAGTCCCAATTCCCCCAGTCAAGCTTGGCATCGTTGAAGCCCAGATCATGTGCTGCCATTAGGACTGTGCTAGTGTGCAAGTGTGAGACCGCAAAAGGCTAAACTGATTCAATAGGAGCTTGCCAAATGTCCGCTTCGATCTGTTGCTGCATCAGTGCTTGCTTAGCTTTGAGTGCATCTATCTCTGCCGGATCTGGAATGCAGTATGCTGCCTGTTGAAAACGGCGCTCCGGACATTCCACGTATGTCGCATCAACAACTCTTACATCTCGCTCCATGATATCCACAAGTCATGCTTTGCAACAAGTGATGATTCGCAGGCCGCGAGCGATTGCTGACTAAACGGATTGCTACCATCTGGCACCAAGCAGACCTAAGACTACGACAGGTCCCACACTCCAAGCATCCTGAGAAGGATAAAGCAATGTCATCAAATAATTTGACACTAGCTGCCAATGCTTCTGAGCTGGGTGCTCGTGTTGGTGCTGTTGGCATCACCTCAGAACTAACGAGCCAAGCACGTTCTCCGGCTGCTAAGCACACATAACAATATATGAAAGCATAGTCTGCTGCTTTAGGCTTTTTGCAAACACAATGCCACATGTGAAAGCGAATTGCAGACCAAGGCACCACAAGAACGTGAGGCAAAGATAAAGACAAATCCCGAACCATATATTCGAGCATCTGCGCCGACCTAGATGAACAAATTGAAGGAATATTGATTTTCGCGAAGCGAGCGGGGACTGAGGCCGGGGCTGAAACAGCCTCAGAAGTCCAAAGTTGAAGGATCCAATACGCACCGAGTCTCCGAGTCTCCGAGTCTCCCCGCCCATGGAGAAAAACCAGCAAAGCGCTCGGCTGGCCTGAACGCTGATGACATCCAGTAAACCCTGCTTAGGGGCTGCTTGAAATTGTCATCTCTTGCCGCATATCATCAGAAGCAACCCATCTCCAATGTTGGCATTCTCTGAATTCTGCACAAAACCGTGCACCAACAAGTCCAGAAGAAAGCCCAAGCCAGACAACACAAAGAACCCGTGTGGGGTGCATCACTGACTCCCAACAGCCCAGCCTGATGTGGGTCGCATGACTAGGCAAGGTCTCAAGCAATCCAGGGAGTAAACCCAGAGTCGGTGCGAAGCAGTGGCCTGCGAAGCAATGGCACAAGTCTCGCAGAAACCATCTCCCTTCAAAGTGTCACAAAAGGCAGAACAGCTGGATCTCCCGGTTGCGTCTCCGAGTCTTCCCACACCCGCCTCCAGTTCTGTGCAGCCAACATCCAGGCCATCCCGCTGAGCTTGCAGGCAAGCCGCCGGGGAAGCACCTCCCAGCCTGGGGAAGAATTTGGAATTTGTACCTCCCCACTTGGTCTCAGAATGAAGGGCTTGTCCATCTAGGGAGGCGTTTCTGATACTCTCATTACCACCAACGTGACCCAATTGCCAATGCCAATGACTGTTCCACTGAGGCGCCAGCGCAAAAGGGCCAGGCAGCTTCAATTCTCGCCTGGCCTACCAGAGTCAAAGCCCTCTTGGGGAGGCTGGCAGCAACACTTGGCCTGTGCCAGCGCCCCAGGTTCAAGACTGGACAGAATTGCCCGCTCCTGCCACCCTACTCACTGCGCACAGCTCTTTGCATGAGCTGCGGTTCATGGGACAGCCAACAAACATGCCAATGCTCCTCATCACTGTCTGCACTCTTGTGCTGAAAGATCTGGCACAACACCACAGCCTGTGGGCATGCTGCATGTGGCGATGATCGAAACTGGCTGCAAGCAGCTAAAGGAACGAGTGGAGATTTGTGCGAGAGGCAAATCCCGCATTTGAAGACTGCATTGCTATGATGGTGCTTATTGCTTGTCCTCTCAAGAAATGGCAACATTGACAAAGGGCACCTCTCGAGACAAAGCCTCAGCATGCCATTGCCAAACTCACGCGGATGCAAGTCGGTCAACTTGACAGCAGCTCTCAGCTAGGGCGCAGGCACGCTTTCCTCGTTGCCGAGCCAGAGCGATCTCGGGATCTGCTTTCCAGCCCAGCCTAAGTCTCTCAAAATGTCTCAAGTGCACCTCTGAACAGTGAGGGGCGGGCAGCAAAGCAATCAGGTTGAGGGCGTTGGAGCTTGAGGTCTTGGCCAAGAGCAAGCAGAGCATGCTGGATGGTGCTTGAAACTCATGCGGCGCCCAGCACCAAGCCTGAGAGAATGCCTCTAGCAAGAGAGGCAGCTCTGCACGTGAACGCGCATTTGGATCTGCTCTATCTCGTAGTAGAGCTTGCACCTGGTGGCTGTGTGCACGCTATCTGTCTTGCAGATCACGCCAAAACCTGGAACAAATTGCAGCTGTTGACCGCGTCAGACAGTTCCGTAGCCTCAACTGCGAACACTGTCGAACAAAACAAAAGGCTGGGATGCCGCTCACTTCAAGACGCTGGCCATGTCTTGCTTGTCTTGCTTGTCTTGCTCGGCGGCCTCAGTTTTGAAACACAGCACCGGCCTGTTCCTTACTCTTGACGCAAACTGGAGGCCGTGCCGGCTTTGAGCCACTCAAATTGGCGTCATTCCTGACCGGCTTGACCTGCACAGTGTGTGGTGCAAGCTCGAAAAACATCACCAACATGTCCGTGACACAATGACTCGACCCCAGCCTCTTTGGCCGGTTCTTCAGGAGGACAAAGCCTCGGCATTCACGGGTCAAGGAATCTACATCTGAATGCCGACTGCAAGGTGACACACACACACACAAACACACACAACATGGTTCTTGCTTGGATCCTGACAAGTCCATGTTTGCCGATCTCACTAGGATATTGCGGCGGCTGCCATCCTCTTCTGTCAGTTCCACCTGACGGACTCTCTGAGCTGAGTTTGGGAGTTGGAAATTGAGGGATCGAGGAGTTGTGCCCAGGACTCCGGGATTGGCAGGGGGTGTTTGTGTCCTCACGCTTTTCCGACAGCTGGGGCTTAGCACGAACCAACAGCCTCCCTCTTGTTCTTCTCTGGGGTCTAAGCTTCGGGCAGTGTATCTCAAGGTGGATGAATCGAAATCCCGAATGATGCCTAAAGAATAGAGCAGCCCGGCTGTTCCATGGGCAGGTCTGTGAACATCTGGCACCCTGTTCGGCCTATGCGGCCGTTCAGGTCCGGTATGCTCTGCAAGCCTGGACGTGCTGAACAACGGTTTGCGCTGGCTTGCACTCGTAGCAATGGTGCCTATGATTTCCACCATCTCGCCGTTTGGATGCCGAGGCACCTGGGCCGCGGACACCACCATCCGCCCATCCGCCCATTATGTGCCCACCTGAAGCACTGGGTCGGAGCCTCACGTCACAGTTGTGGGCGGAGATGCTTCGAAGGGCGAGGCGAGGGCCGCGTTGCTTCGGACTTGGAGCCCTTGGGGCCGCCGGTGCCCGGGAGGCTCGGGGGGCCGGCGCGCTAGCCGCGCCCGCGCCGAAGCCAGCGCCGCTCGGAGCGGCACCCTGCCTCCCACCTACAAATCGGGGTGCATGCCGACACGTCCGACACGTCCGACACGTCCGACACGTCCGACACGTCCGACAACATGCCCATCTTGGCCGAGCGGCTCTTCCACTTGAAGGTGGTTCTGCCATTGGCACCTCGTCGGCAAGCTTACCCACGACAGCACAGATCAAACACAAGCGAGGCTGTTGGCCGTGCATCAGCGGTTTTTGCAGTAGCACGCAGCGCTGGTGACTCAGCTTGCAGCCATCTGGCGAGGCCGGATAGGGGTCACCCTGCATGAGCAAGCCAACCCTTGCTGCTCCAGTAATTGCATGTGGCAAGTCTCAGAATGGATCGTTGTTCAATGTCAGTGAAACACTTCAAACAATGCTGCAACCGGTTTGTTGGAACGACGCTCGCACAGCTCTGATATCCTGAGCCGAGTGCTGAGGGATTCACCAGAATCATGCCATGGGTCACCAAAAGCCACAGCCTGGCTTTGCACCCTGCACAACAATGGGCTTCCCTTCCTTCTCCTTCGCCACCAATGCAAAGCATCCGGAAGTCCCGAAGAATCGAAATGAAACGAATTTTCATGTGCAGGGACACTGACTGGCCCGCGGCAAATGGGTGTCAGTGTCCACCTAAAAGTAGAACTCCGTTGTTCGGCGCTGAGCAGCAGCACTGACAACCAGGTAAACATCATGCACCTAAGTTACACCTAAGTATGGCAAGAAGACAGCCTTGGCCGCAAGCTTGCCACTTTACCAGTCCAGCCATGGCCGTCAGGTAAGCGCATAGTCCCAACAAGTAAGACTGTGCTTGACAGCCTGACGACGTTTCAGTTCACTGAGTTCTTCCTCCACGTCTGTCAAGTGGCGAGTAATCCATACAAGCTGCTCTCTCAGCTCGCCATGGGCGCCTAGCATCGATTCGCGGCTTCGAGCATCCCATTTGATGGATCCTCCTCCTTCCTTTCTCTTATTCTCCTTGCGCAAAGACTTCAGCTGCTCGTACTTCTCTCGCATGTGGTTAAAGGATTCCTCGTCACCGCCCTTGTCTGGATGGAGCTGAGTCGATTTCTTCCGATAGGCCTTCTCAATGTCCTTGTCGGAACAGTTCTGGCTATCCAAACCGAAGAACTCGTAGTCCTCCGAGCCCCTCAGCTCATCTCGCTCCTTCTCGGCAGACTTCAAGGCCTCTCCCCTGGTTTGCACCTCATGAACGAGCAGTGTCAGCAACCCAGGCAACTGCTCTGAGAGCATGCCATCCAGCCACTTCTGGAGAGAATCTGCGCTGCATGTCAGCTCGAAGTCGATTGAGTTTCGCTGAAAACGCCACCGCTTTCCATCTGCGCGCTGAACTGCCACAGCTGTTTCACCAGTCCTTGTTTCCAGCATGTAAATTTTCACTTGCTGCGTGTCCAGATCGCAAAGGGATTTCTCAGGAGGAGTGCCTCGCAGCTAGACTCCGGCCAGGCCGAGAACACATCCCCCGCCCCCTTCCCACTCTCTTTACCATTCATTCCCCCTTCTGCCCACTTTGACCCACTTTGACCCACTTTGACCCACTTCATGCCTTCTGGAGATGCCTCTTCTGAGCCGCTCACCTTGGCTGAGGCCATCGGCATTGAGCCCTGTCTCGCGCAGGTGGCGGCCTGAGGCCCCGGAGGCCCCGGAGGTGAGGCAGGCGAGGCAGGCGAGGCAGGCGCAGGTGACGGCCTGGCAATCCGACATCGGATCAATAATTGGGAAGCAAATTTTAGGGAAATCGGACAAAGCACGGCCTGGACGTCCAGCATGGGCTAGCCACTGCCTGGACATCGGGTCAGCTGAATGGAAGAAGCACCATAGCTTTCGTGCCTGCAACGGCCCGAGCGGCATCGCATTTCCTGTGAAAAGTCGTTTCTTCCAAAGGCGCAGCTGCCTCTGCCCTAGTTGATCGACTGCTGCGTTTGCATTTGGAAAAAGAAACATCAATGACAAATCGGGGCTGGAGAGAACTCTGATTCCTGAAATGCCCATCTTGGCAATCGAAGTTGGTGTGTCGAGGCTCCTGTCTGCTGTGCAGCCCCGTAGTGCCCTCCTTGGCAGGATTCTCTTGCTTCTATCTCATCTTTCCTTGTCCTGATGCCTTGCCCCAACACCAAAGGCTCCGGCCGGGCTGCAACCTACCAGGCCCAATGCCCAGAATCTGTGGACTTGCTTGCCCCATGTCGAGAGGCAAAGGACAGTAGCATCCCATGGTGCCAGTAACTTACCCTCGAGAGAGGCCTGCGCGGAGTTTGCGCGACCTCACCCGGCGCCTGGGCTGGAAGCGGCCATCAAAACCAGGCGGCTGGTGTTTCGAGCACCTACTCGCCCCCCACCGACTCACATGGATTTGCGCAGACCCCTGTAGAAAGACTTCTTTCCTCTTGGAAAGGGGCTTTGTGTACTTCCATATTAGTTGATGGGAGGGTACTTTCCCACTTCAACTTCATCTGACTTGCTTCTAACTTCTAGCTCTTTGGTTCCAAAGTACAAGCAGAATAACCCCGAAGCCATGTCATGAATCAAAGGGGGGCCGCGCCTATCTTGGATTTGCCCCCAATCTTTGCTTGCGGCTCAGGTGTCATGGGCCAAGTCTTCTTGGAAGAAAGAGGCAACCCGCTAGGTACCCAGGTACCCAGGTCCGCAGATCCTTGTCTTGCTGTATCCCTCTCGGCCTGGCTTTGCCAAGACCCCTGATTTCGTTTACGGCCACAGCTGCTCCTTCTAGGAGACTGTGAAAGCAGTCCCTTTGGACTCAAGTCAGCTTAGCTGTCTACGGTTGCGCAAATGTCTGACAAACGACTCAAAGATGATGCTGTCAAGCATCCAAAAAAGTTCGCGTCATGCATTGTTCCCAAATCATCGCCATTGCCTGATTCACAGCCATTTTGGTGTCAGGCTTCTGTCGGGCCTACGAATTCGTCAAGGCTGGCTGTTCCTCAGCATCAGTCAAACGCAGGGCAGGGGAGTCCGCTCGGCCACTCACCACCTTGCTGATCTCTCGACTACTTCTGCGCGAGCTGCGCTCGTGGCGGTCGAAGCCTGGTATTTCTGCCAGCGCGAAATCCGTCTCGATCACCTTCGCTGCGGGGTCCGGCAGGTCTTGCGCACAGCCCGCGTGCGACCATTCCTTCGCCCAATCCCAGAAGCCAACGTCCACCGTCAACGCGTGAAGGTCCCCCTGATCCGCCGGCTGCATCTGGCCGGCATCCCGTGGCTCCACCGGCGCCGCCGGCTGAAGCTGAAAGGGCAGTTCATTCACCCAATTCTCGAGCATGATTTCCCTCTCTCTGGGGGTCATGGCCATAGCCTGCTTCAAAGCCTTGGGTGATGGCGGAGGAGTTTGCAGTGCAGCTTCCTCGTCTTGCACCCTTGACGCCTTTTGTCCGGAGGCAAGGTAACAAACCACGGCTATACAACAACAAGCAGCAAGTCCAGCGGTAACAACCAAGACGATCGGAAGCATGTCCTGATTTCGAGGCGAAGGTACTCCGGTTGTGACCACGATCACCAGCTCCTTGACAGAAAATGCTTGGTGAATCTATTGGTGAGGTGAAAAAAGGGGACAGCACCCATTCCATAAACCTGATTTGGACTTGCTACTACCACACTGTGCTGCTGAGGCTCTGTTGGTGCTGGACAAAGCACCGACACCGCCCAGTTCAGGTCAGACCCGCAAGTGACAGCTGCCTCAATGCTCAAGGTGGACATGGGGTCACATTTGGCCCGGCACTCCTGCCCAACCTTGGATGAGAAACACTGGCACAACAGGTACGACTGGGACGTCAAATGGGGTCACATCTGATGGGTTTGCAACAAAATCTTCCGGTTTGACAGTCTGCCCCAGAAACCGAGATGATGTGTAGACTCAGAGGATTCAAGTGAAGATGCTTCTGGATGTGGCTTTGCTTGTGTTAAAACCTGCGCTTTTGTAGCCTTCAACACGGAACTACCAAGGTAAAGACTCCAAACTCTGACCTCAAGTTCCTTTGGTGGCATTTCTGGTGCCCAATTCAACCTCGTAGCACGCCGGGGCCCGTAGCAGCTGAAGGCCGCCGCGCCAGGTGGCAAGTCCGGCAGGAGCGTCTGACCTGACTCCAAGTCGTGCTCACCGAGACTTTGGGGGAAAAAACAAATCTGAGGAAACGATAGCTGCACTGGAAAGAGCGACTGACAAACTGTGCCAAGGCATAATCGTAATGAGGCGCTGCAGTGCGGTGCCACGCCGTCGTGGGATGTTGTCATCATGCCCCACAGGACGGTCGTTGTTGTCACCGTGAAAGTGGTGGCAGTTGAAGTTGAGGGCCCAGTAGCGGTGCTTGTGGTTTGTGTCAGAGATGTTGTGGTGAGACTGGTCAAGGTGAGAGTGGAACTGGTCGTGGTGGTTGTTGGGAGTGCCTCATGCGCATAGAATGCAACATAGGATCCGGCGCCTGCTAAGGATTGGCAAAGAAGGGTCAGCCCAGATTGATGCATCACCGTCAAGCCCTCAGACCTCCAGGAGTTGGAACCTTCATCCCATTTGGCGCAGGCCGGCACAAAGAAATATCCAAGCGGGGGGGTTCCAAGAGGAGGCAGCACCAAAGAAATATTCAGAGGCTCAAGCATACTGCTGAATGTCACCACAGTCCCGCAAAGAGTCACCTGGAAACTTCGAACACTGGCATCTTGAGGTACAAATGAATTCACCCCTGCGTTGGGATCCGCCCAGGCATACAAATTGGTCGAGTGCCACCATGTATCCTGCAAGTCCATCGCGAGTGCGGAATCAGGGTCACCAGTAGCTGTAGTCTCATCCAAGGATAGCAGACTTGGCTGTACCAAGTGCACCAGGTCCGTCTCCTGGGACTCACAGGTGAATGCGGCTGCAAGTCTTCGCCCAGCAACGAGCCCGAGCTTGCCCAACCTCAATTCAGTGCCCCGACCTGCATCTAGCCAGGTGAGAGTCTGGGTCTCTCCTGGAAGGAGAGCAGCCAGAAATGATCCTCCCAGCTTCAAGCCAGCAGTTTGTACCTCTGAGGACACCGCGGCTGCCGCCCCACCTTGATTCTGGGCATTTGCAGTGGTGATCTCCAGGATGCTCTCAAGCACAACTCTGCTAGCTGGAACATCAATGGTGAGAGCGTTGTCCAATGAACTGGCGATTGCCAGCGTTGCACTTCGCAGCACAGCAGCATCGGCTGTTCCGCGAATCAGTCTTGCCGCTGATCCAGCACACATTCTCACCATGCTGGCTGTACTATCTAACCTTGTTGCCCCCTCCAGAAAAGCCAAGGCCTCCAGCACCATGGCAGTCTTTTCGGAAGACGGCACAAGCTCCGCGAGCGAAGCAATCGCCTCAACCGCATTGATCATCCTGCTAGCTTCATTGCTGCTACGCGCCACGTCCAAAAAGGCCATTGCTGCATCCTTGTCGAAGGAGTCGGGTGCAGACACCATTGGCCCGGCAAGAAAGGACTCGGCATAGGCCTGCAGGTCGTCCCTGGCGCGCGCCAGCACAAAGAACACGCCAGCACCCAGCATGACCTCCATAGACTTGGCGGAGGAGAATGTGCGTAGCTCCACACCTCGGAAACTCCAACTCCTTCCCCCGGTCATGACCAGCGTTCGGGACCAAACTATTTTGCTCACACTTCGGGCCTCCAAGTGCAAGTTATCTTACTCTGTTTGTGCTTCAAAGCCAAAGCAACCTAGCAAGGCGGCTGCCTCCCCTCACTTCTAGACATATCCACTACTCGTTGGCCAGGTCACCTCCCCGAGCTCGCCAGAATTGCGGATGCGACGAATCATCCCATTCCTCAGAAGTCGAGCTTAGCCGGACAACGCCACAAGTGTGAACCAGGCCTCACTGCAACACTGCTCTCACTACAATTGGGAGGCGAGGCTCCACATAGCCCAGCTCAAGGCCCCTCCGCTTGATTGGATCTTCGAAGTCGCTGGTCAGAGATCTTGGAGCAAGCAAGCATTCTATACTCGCCATCGGTTGGCCAAACAATCTCATAGGGAGGCTGGCCATGTGATTCGCCGATTCAATTTCCCTAGGGATTCTCATATCTCACTGTTAAGAATCGAATGTTCTGTTCGAAGGCCAACCGTGTTTGGCAATCGCAAGGTCGTTTGATCGCACATCGCAAGCATCCGATGAGTGTGTGTGTGTGTGTGCTGTAACACCCCAAAGACGTGGTCTTACGCATTTCAGTCGTGGCACCCAGACACAGGGAAGGAATAGAAGGCATACTGCATCGCAGATTCCTCAGTTGAATGAGTTGGAGGCTCCCTTCAAAGAACCTCTAGCTTTGACAAGCCAATGTAGCTTCGGCACCCTCTCATCCTGCCAGTCAGTCGTGCTGATGGTGAAAATGGTTGAAGCTGCCTATCAAACAAGTCAGTGGCATACCAAAGCTTGCATAAGAGGGTCGTTAAACGTCAGGCCTCCCCCATCACCGGCTCCAGCAGAACAAGGCCATGTGCTGGTGGCGCATCGGCATGAAAGGGCTCCTGGCGGCGCACTGCGAGTTTCGCAGGTTCGGATTAAGGCGAGTCTCACATCTTGCATGCAGTCAAGAAGCTGATACGGCGACTAGTGCCAGAGAGCTAGCCAGGATGTCGCCCAAATGTGTAGCATTGTCTTCCCAGGCCAGCAACTCAGCAGCATCTCCCAGCAGAATGGCATAGGAGTACATCACACCAGCAAGAAGAAGATTGCCGTGGAAATCCCGAGTTGCAAATATAACTTCACTATCAGGCAAAGTGGTCGTAGTCGTTGTTGTCTGTGTCCTCATTCCCGGAAAATGGCCTGTCATATTGAAGTCCATGATGTCGGTTTCGTTTGATTCATATGACTTGTTGAGCCATCCATCATCATCAAAGTCTGATTGATTGTAGGAGTCATCCCAAGTGGTTGTGCTTGTGCTGGTGAAGGTCAGCGTTGACGTTGTAGATGTTGTGGAGCTTGTTGAGGTTGTGGAGGTGCTTGATGTAGTTGTAGTAGACTCTGTGTCAAGCTGCAGGAACCTTAGCATGGCCAAAACCCGCAGATTGCCAAGCGCATTCTCTGGCAAACCAAAACCCGCAGTGCTGTCAAAGACACGTGAGTATCTTGTGGGGAAGAGAGTGCTCCACTAGTGCAAATCTTGCAATCCACTCCTCTGGCCTTGGGATCTGCAAACGACGCCAAACGCATGCATGGGAAAAAATGTAGAAAAGGCTGATTCTAGGGGGTTGGGGGTTGATGGTTGCCTGTCCTGGTTTTTATTTCGCTTTTCAACACGTGCTCTATCTCATTCGTTTTTAAAATTAAAGGCTGATTCTGGGGACATGAAATAACGATATGAATGAGATAACGAATTGATGGGTTTGTCCCCTGTTTCGTTCCTGTTGTCAAACTTTAGTTTGTGTTGAGAGGTTAGGGCTTTCTGTTGTTTCATGGGTTGGGTTTTGGGCGGGTCTGGTGGTTTGTGGCTTCTTTCGCCCCACCAGTTCGGTCGTCTCTCTGCCCCAGCCTTGTGGACATCGACATCTTCTTCGTTTTTGAGCAGGGAGACTCAGCGCGTTTCGGTGGGGTGGATGTTGGACAAAAGCTTTAGTTTGAGCTGATGTCATTGAGTTGATGACATTGAGCTGATGTCGTTCGTTGAGCATCCTGACAAGTGTCATGCACTGAGCGCGTCATATCATTTCAAGCTGTCAATTCGTGATACTGTCATCCTTCGTGATTGTTGTGTGATTGAGCAATGTCGCCCAAGAAGCAGAGTGGCTATGAATCTTCGCCTGTGGAGACTGCTGCTTCTTTGTCGCTTGAAGCATCAACGACTACAGTCGTGGCTACAGCTAGACTCCTTGAGATTCAGGCAGCGGATGAGCTGGTGGAAGCCGTGAAGGCACTTCCTCTCGAGGAGCTTACGGTTCATGAGAAGAACATGAAAGAGGAGAAGGACCGCATCACTGAGCAGATGAAGGTTCTCACCACTCAGAAGAAGGAGCTTGAGAAGGTCAACAAGGAGGTGAATGACAAGCTGAAATCCCAAGCCAGGAGCGAAGCGGCAAAGGCGAAGACGAAAGCAAAGACAGAACGGATGTACTCCTACATCTTCAAGTGGAAGGGCGAGGAGATTCCCTTCCAATTGCCTGGACGTTCGACAATCAAACCGGCAAGAAGGAGTCAGAGGTGAAGAAGCTGCTCTTCTCCCACAGCGAGGTCGTCATGCGTGGCAGGAGTGAGAACACGGGCAAAAACGGATATGACATGAGGGACGGCGACGTCATTGAGGTTGAAAATCTTGCAGATTCCGTATCCGAGTCAGAGCCGGATGATGAGGATGCAATGGTGGAGGAAGACCCCGACATTTGAGTCATGACATGTCAACCCATGCTACCACTTTGACAGGTTCAGGGTAAAATATGTCCATGTGTTCAACTTCACAGCTATTTCAGAAGAGCTCTTGAACCGGCGGAAAGGTGGTGCATTTTGAGAAGCAACACGGCTTGCTCTTGCCATCAGCCACAAACACATGTTGTTTTGAACTGAAGCTTGAGGTCATAACTCGCGTTGCTTGCTGACAAACGCATTGATTTCCATGACATCAGTCAGTCAGTCAGTCAATACCATGATACATTTGTGCATGAGTTGGTCTTTCTTTGGAGCTGTCAATGGCAGCGTTTTTGCTCGGAGTTTTGAAACTGTGAATCCCCGACTTTCATGGCTCAAGAAAAAAGGAACCGTGCGGTTTAGCACTTGTAGGTTATGAGCCCAACGCTGCTCGGGTAGGCTCCCGCAATGGACGCTGGCATGAGGAGAAGGAGGGCCAGGTCGATGGATGCGGGGGACGAGGGCATCATGGTCGCCGAGCCCAACGGAGAGGTCATCCCCGAGGAGGAGGTGATGGAGGGCGAGGCGAAGAGGGGTGGTCATGGGGATGCGGTGCCGGTGAACCCGTTTTGGAGCGAGAAGGCAAGGGCGGAGGCGGAGCTGCAGGCACTTCGGCCCAAGGACCTGCCGAGGGTTCCGGAGGGGGAGATGGCAGGAACACACCCGGGAGAACCACATGGACATGAAAGCGGAAACAATGAGTAGCAGCAGGTCGGAGTTCTGGAGCGAAGTGAAACGGAGCTTGCAGGAGGACCTGGAAAGGGAGAACTGGCCGAAGGGTGAGACAGAAAGAGGAGGAGGAAGCGGTAGTGATGGCCATCGTGGACATCCTGGAGGGTGGCCTCCTGAAGCTCGACATGGGGATCATCCAGGAGGGCATCGTGGGTGGGGTCGAGAACATGGCGAAGGACATCCTCGAGAGCATCCGGAACGAGGGCAAGCTGAACGCCGTGAACGAGGTGAAGATCATCATTGGGGAGAATATGAAGGCAATCCTCGGGGAGATTATGAAGGGAGGCCCACAGAACATGCTGAAGGGGGGTAGGCCGGCGAGCGTGGGACCACATCCGGGAGAACGAGAAAGTGGACCGTACGGTCGAGAAGGCAAGGGCGGAGGGCATCGCGGAAGAAATCCCATCCATGGAAGAGGGCATGCAAATAGGGGAAGCACGGGGCACTCTCGAGAAAGGAAAGAAGAAGGTCAAACTGAGGCAGGTCGTGATCATCCTGGCGATTCAGTTCCTGCTGGAGGCAACCCGAGAAGGTAAAGGACATGGGGCAAAGGACGGGAGAGGACCGCAGCCGAGGAAATTGGAGGTGACGAGGGATGAGGCAAGGGCGGCAACGAGAGCGGGCTTCAGGCCAATGGAGCTCCACATGGTTTGGAACCCGGCAACGAAGACGTGGATTCCAGAAGGAAACCTACCAGCTGGCCTGCAATATGATGATGAGGAACTCGTGCCGGACGATGACGACGGCATGATTGATATTCAAGCGGCCATGGAGAAGCAACTCATGCTGGCGTGCCGGATGATTCGAGGCATGGAGCAAGAACGGGATCATCTTAAGGGGAAGATGGCGGAGCAGGGCAGGTTGCTGGAGAGGAGGAACAGCACGATCAATCAGCTGTTGGAGCAGGTCCAGGAAACTCAGGGTCAACTGAGGGAAGCCCAGGATCAGTTGGCGGACTGGAGATCATGGTGGGATCGCTGGGAGTGGGATGGAACCCGGTGGAGGAGGTTTGAGGAGGAAGAGGAGGAGATCTTCCAGACACCTGCAGAACCGGGTGGAGGACATGGAAAAGGGGAACGGCGAGATCGGACCAGGTCCCACATCCACCTCCGCATCCTCCGAGGCCAAGGACGCCAGAACAGCGAATGACCCCAGGAGGGACGGAAGTCCCGAGGGGAACGCCGCCCCGCTCTGAAAGGGGAAAGGGTGGTCTTCGTCTAGAAGGAGGAGGAGGTAACTCTAGAAGGGAGGAGCCGAGAGAAGGAGAGCTATACACCTGGACCAAGGACTATGAGTCGGCTGGCCTGAAGATGGTACCGGCGCCGATGACCAGAAATGAGTGGGCGCTGACGTGGGAACGAAGCTCCGGCACCGCCTCCGGGATTGGAGGCCAGGGCCGACTTGGACCCGGAGGTGGTGGTGAGCGAGAAGACTGGGGACGTTAAAGGGATCATGGATGTCTGGCCGGAGGATGTGAAGGCAATGTTAGCAGCGGGACGGAGTTGCCAAAGCTGCCGGAATTGGGGGCAAAGGAAGCTGGGCCGCTGGCAGCGGGAGACTGGTTGGCGGAAATCAAGCCGATCATGATGGACCTCAGCACCAGTGCGGCGGTCTGGTGGGAACACATCATGAACCATGCGGAGAGGGCCTATCAGAAATGGCTGGACATGCGGCCGGTGGATCGGCTGAATGTGGCGCCGGAGGAACCCGGGTGGCTGGGGAAGTACCCGTTTTCTCGGGTGGAGCAACGTGGAGCTGGGCTTCTGCTCCGGGCGTTGCCTCAGGGACTGAGACAGGAGGTGGTGTCAAGAAGGTTGTCAGCGGCAGGAATGGTCTTCAAGGTGCTCACAATGTATCAGCCAGGGGGGCCAGCAGAAAGGCAGAGCCTCCTCAACTACAATGGAAACACGGTGCCGGCGGAGGTCTTGGCGGCAGTGCGGCAATGGCGGAGGTGGTACATTCGCACAATGGAGCTGAAGCTGGCGATGCCGGATCCCTCGCTGCTGCTGAGAGCGTTGGATAGCATGACCAACGGGATCGCAAAGGAAGGAAGCCAGGTCCACTTCAGTTGAGAAACAGCCTGGGGGTGGATGTCACACCAACGCAAGACGGCATCATCCAGCTGGCGGAGTTCATCCAAGCGGAGGTGGAAGTGATGGTGGCCTTGAAGGCGGACGAGAAGGTGGTGAAGGTCAAAAGCATGAAGCCGACAGAGCAGTCTGGGCAGCGCAGGGAGGGAGAGAAGAAGCTCTGCGTGTACTTTGCAGGAGAACGAGGATGCCGGATGGGCCGGAACTGCAACTATAGCCATGACTGGTCGGTGGTGGAAAAGAAAGCAGATCGGTGCTGGATCTGTGGGTCGCTACAGCACCCGGTGAAGCATGAGGCGGCCGGCAGGACTGGGTTCAGACAGCAGCAGGCGCAGGGCGAGTCGCAGCAGCAGAACAAGTCGCAGCAGCCAGTCAAACTGCAGGTTGTAGCGGAAAAGGGGGTCGCAGAGGACTCGAAGGAGGCGTCTGGGTCTGGGGGAGCTGGACGGCAAGGTCAAAATGTCCAGGAGCTGCTGACGGAAGCGACAGGGCTGTTGAAGTCGCAGAGCATAGTCAAGGTCACCAGAGTTCGGTCGGTGAAAGTGGAAGAGGAGTTCTATGGCCTGCTGGATGGAGGAGCCACCCATGCTCTTCGTCAAGCCAGAGAAGGGGAACTCAAAGGGAAAGACGTGAAGGAGGTGACAGTGGAGCTGGCGGCGGGCACAGCGCGGCTTTGGCAACACAAGAACACAAGGACGCTGCTGTAAGCGGAGAAGGTGGAGCCGATCGTGCCACTGGCGGGACTGGTGGAGATGGGCTACGGCATATCCTGGAACAATAAGGGATGTGTGGTGAAGCACCCGGCAAAGGGGGACATCAAGGTGGAGATGAAGAATGGGTGTCCAATGGTGCCGGGGAAGGAGGCGCTTTGACTCATCGGAGACTTGGAGCAGTTCCACTTGAACAGAGCAAAGATTCGCAGGTTGTCCTCGGCAGAATCAACGATGATGGAAACGTGGAGGG